ACTCCCAACACTATCATACAGAAGGGCTAGAGGGGATATGGTTGAACTATATAAGATAAAAAGCGGAATATACGACAGGGAATCCTGTAATTTTTCTTAAACTTTTGAAGGATGTAACAACGAGCCACAGCAGTAGGAGGAATTCAAAAATGATCTTCCCGCAACAATTCAAAACTACACTAAGGAAAAACAGCTTTGGTATTAGAACTGTAAAAATGTGGAACGGTCTTCCCGAGGACGTTGTATCGGCACCTAATATAAACACTTTCAAGAATAGACTGGACAAAATATGGAAAAATCAGGAAATACTTTATAATTATAAGGCAACCATAGATGGAAGTGAACTCTAATATTTAAACATGAGAACATATTACATATATAATATAGTTCGGTGTAGAGGAACATATTGTTCCTGTACTGGAAAATAACTATAACTATAATGTCTTTGCTTTCTTGACATAAATTACATACATCACATTGTTTGAATCTGATTGGGTTTTTTTTAAATAATGATTAAGTGGAAGTAATATTGGTACAAACCTGAAAGTGAACTAGCTAATGTCTAATGTTATTATATATCCAGTTAACAGTGGAGAAAAGTTGGTTAGATAGACATTTTACTTTTGCTGTGTAGTAAAAAAAAATCTAGTATGTAGGGTGTTGTACATATCTCTACTTCCTCTCTATTAATAATAATATAATTATAATATACAACATTTATATAGCGCCCTATATAATTAGTAAAATTACTCTAAAGACGTCTTTTTGGCCAGGGTATTCGACTTTCTTACGGCAGATGGTAAGCTATTCCTCAACCTGGCCGAAACCCTCTCAAAGCAACGGTTTCCATATGTCACAGTACGAGATTTTTTGGACACAAAACAATGATTTTGACTCCGACCGCAGTGATCGTGACGGCTGATACAGGGTAACAAGCTCCTGTAGGTACTGATGAGCTGTACCATTCAGTGCCTTGTATGTGTACATCAACATTTTGTACTGCGACCTGTATCGTACAGGTAACCAGTGCAATGCAATTTCTTAATGCTACATTGGTGTGAAAGGGTATAAACGGTCTTTCAAAGAATGGCTTTGTTATGTTATATCGTGATATGTCATAAAGGGTTTTATTGATTCGCAAATGCTTTTGTACTGTAGCAAGTTTCCAGTGATAACATTATTCTTTTCTTTAAAATCTGTATAGCTTAATAATCCCGATCCGTTTGTATTATATCCCTAACATATACTTCATTTTTTAAATGCCCTTCATTATAGAAAAAAAAATATCATTATGAAATTTTAAAATATCTATCGTACCAAATTGGCGATTGTAAAAGGTCATCAACATGTTTCAATGTTTGTCATTTCTGCTTCTTTGATCCATGCTCCAAAATCTTCCCATATTTATTTTCTGTATGGATAGTTTTAACATATTCAATTCCTAGATCTCCCGTTATTTTAGGTTTACAAATTTCCCCAAACAAGGTTAGTCATTCATTATCTTTAGATAGGAGTATTCTCCTAATCCATGTAGTTTCAAGTCAATATATAAAGTTCTCAAAATCAAATATTGTTAGTCCACCATGATAGCTTATATTTCAGCAACCAATAGAAATAAATTAGATGACACTGGATACACTTGTCTACAGACCCTTTTTATATCTACAAAATTCGATAAAAAAAAAAGCATTCTGTATGATAGCAGAAGAAGTATTCTTATTAAAATCCTGATCCATTCCCTTACACCATTTCAAAAATAAACAAAACTTGGTTCTTTCTTTCTTACTTGCACTGTTTGCGTTTCGGACATTATTGAGTCTTAAACTGATTTCAATCTAATTACAATATATGCAGATGCTTATTTGTAAGTTTTGTTGAGGACAATGATATTTGTTCAGTACTTAAAATATCGCCTGGGTTTATAACCTTTGGACGACATATTATGACACCTTTGTTGGTGTGTAATAGATAGTTGCCCGTTTATGTATCCTACATTTAGAGATCTTATAATAAAATTATCTTAGACTTGCCAGAAAAATTTAAACGAAAAATTTCATTTGTCGATGCAGAAAATCGGACAGTAGATATTATACTCAGCCAAGTAGCTATTTTGTCCGATATATATTTTTATCGCTGATGTGGAAAAGTGATAGTAAAACCCATATATTATAATATTTACATTTGCTCTGCATCGCCACAACATAATACTACCAAGGTAAGCTCCGTGTAATGAGACCATAACACAGGCTTAGCAATATATCCACGGGTCCCCCTCCGCATTAGGAAGCAGGAAAACAATAATATTCACCGTTTTATGTAAGACTATCATAAAATTTGAATTGAATTTATTGCTTGATTTAATTATTGAAATTGTATCGATATCTTTATGTTTATTCCAACGAACTTCCCACCAAGCAGTTCATTGACAAGACAAGTGTTGTTATGAGAATATAACAGCATTTGCTATTTTAACGTTAACAATCTTTATTGTGAAATCGTTAATTTCATTGTTGTCAAGATTTAGTTTGCGGTTCAAACAACTATTCGAAATAACTAAATAAAGGGTAACTACTCTATCAAAGTGTAAACATAAATTATGATTATTTAGCAAATATTGTTATGGTTCTATAACACACATTACTATTGATGACATACTCACATAAAGCCCTGCCAGCATACATTTCAGCTACAAGGTTACTGCCGGCCTCGAGGACCGATTGTCCACCAGCAGAGTATACCACCTTGTTGAACTCATTCAATCTTGATACGAAAGACTAATAGAATCGAACATGGATGTGGCCCATGGACAGGAAAATCTCAACCCGAGGTTAAGAGATTGGCTGTGTAGCATGAAGCTTTGTTAAGCTCTTGCCTGAGTGTTGAGACGTCCACGGACCATACCTATTTTTGATTCTTGTATTCCATAAGGCGCATGCAAATTCTATAGGGGTCATGAACCCTGAACATAAAATCAGAAATCCGTTTAAAACACAACGTTTATGATACTTTTGATTAATAAAACAATACAATACAATACAAATTATATTATTCAAGTGTCACATGTCAATTTTTCTTAAAATACATACATACAAGCATGGTCTATAATGTACAACAATATATGATTGACACCCAACCTATGCGAGACACTATAGATATTTGTTAATACGACGTAATTTATCAATACTAAAAATCAGTTCATAGATATTAAAAAAGAAAAAGGTTAAGACTTAATATTAAAAACACATTCTTCTACGATACATCTTATGAACTGTAGCCCAACAACTGTAAATTTCACGTCTTCCACGGGCAAGTATGGGAGAACGAAACACTTGAATTGTGAAGTAAGGAAGCGCTTTGACCACTACAATCCAAACTAAGACCTAATTAGACCCCACATTTGATTCAATTTACACTAATAATTCCATATATGAAGTTGACTTCTCGGCACAGTTTATTTTCTCTTCACGTCAATCAACAACGATTACAGTGTTATACTGCTTACCTGCTATAAGTTTCTTCAACGAGATCAAGTTTCAAAGTAGCGTCATCGGCGGTTTTGTGTGATATATTAAGAAATCCTTTGTGATTTACAGAAAACATTCAATTCAACAGACGAAAGTAGAACAGAAAATCATCACCGTACCTTATTTCTCTATTTGCATTGTATACATTTCTTCAATGAGATCAAGTCACAACATTACGTGATCAGCGGTTCTATGTGATATGTGTTTACTTGTATATTATAAGTTCCTCTGTGATTCACTGAAAACATCTAATTTACAAACGAAAGTGTATTTAATTTCGCTTTGTATGAACAAATCAAATTCGAAAGTACCGTGTACATCAGCTTAGTGTATAATATTCACAAAAGTCTAGGTACAGGTGCACTGTTTTCTTCAAAACTCATGTCAGATGTTTTTGTCGTGTATAAATGAATTAAAGATTTTTAATAGTGATGATATGTAATTGACTGTTCCGTCACAGTTCATGATCGTAATCGTGAAGTCTGATCACATTTTTAAAATGCAATAAATATGTTGATGTGCCTCGAGTTAAGCTGGTAGCGCGTGAAACTGTTCTAGAATTATGCATCGTAACTTAATGTTGTCATTTGCAGAATAAAGCATTAACCAAAAACGAGTTCCGACAATGGCTTTAAATTTACCTTTTTAAAAAAAAGGAGCACACGTATTTGAAGGCAAGGCAGGGAAACCAAAAGGAAATGAAACGTTAAATGGATAAGGACCAATCAGGTGCTTTGATTTGTTGTTAGCTGTGACGTTTGTCGGTCAATATTGAGATGCATACGCAGCTTGATGACATATTTTTGAAGAAAAAACATTTATGTACTATTTTAACACATTTTCCAAATTGTCTGGTATAAGTAAGACCTACTAACAGATGTAAGACGTTACAGGAGAAATTAAGTATATAATTATGTACATTGATATTCTGAATGTGTTTGTTACACATTTTAATATTTGAAGTATACATTTTTTTTTAGAAATAAAATGATTCCATTTACAGCTTAAGACTTAAAATAAAAGACCAAAAAGACACTATTATCGGTTCATAAATGAAACAAATCATACTACATTAAACAATACGAGAAATACAATATAAGTACGATTTATCAAAGTATATATTTAAGTTAAAATTTATTTAACAACCATGCTTAGTTGTTTACGTGTTGGTGTCATGGTGTATACAAATAATATTTCATAAAATATTGTCGAAGCTTTAATATAAGTAATAACAAAGAGGTTTACAAGCACAAACTGAATACTTGGAAACCCTGCCATGAAATATGACATAGTGAATGCTCCAGTGTCACGGTCCATCAATCACACAGCGCACCGCGACATATGCACCATAGCTAGGCATGTACGTGTGGTCAGGTTTTTACCTGGAACACAACACGTCCTCCGTGTGAAAATCGGAATCTAAATACCAGGAACACACTCTCGTGGTCACTGATGTATAAAAGGATAAATAAATTTGAATACCTAACACTCTGTAAGCATCACGCGACGGTAATAGACTGATACACATACTTAACCAGGAATCACATACACACATTGTATAGGATTTGTCTGTAATGATGTGGGCGGTTATACTTATGATTTCGGCAGTACATCTACATGGTTCTTTAGCAGGTAAGAGTGACAAATATTATGTCTGAAAATGGAATCGAAAACTTGAATAATATTAATTGAATGGTTGCATAGTTGTGTGTTCTTTTGAGTAAAAGTTATTTTAATATTGATTCATTCACCTGTAGAAACAAACGCAGATTATTCACCTATATAAACATAAGCAGATAACATTTGAGAAGTTCCTCTAGCTTGCATCCGATATACATGTACTATAGAACTAAAATTCTTGACTTAATACTGTTAAATACCCTGTATATTATAGAATAATTATCGTTTCTTCATTTCTTGTGTTTTTGGCAAATTTATGTAATTAACTTACTGACAATATTAATGATATGAAACATAAAGTGATGGTCCCTTCGATTAATATTTCAATTGTTCAACGATTTTATGATATGCTTAAACGTATTTCTTTATAGATATTTCTTATAAAGGACTAACCAGTACATGGAAAATTTTCTTAAAATAAATGTTTCCAAAAGGATATTTTTTAAATGTTTGTTTTGTTGTAATGGTGTTCTTATTTGTTTTCATCATTTTGATGTCTCCTCGGCTCCTGTTGTTGCCTTATCTTGTCAATTTGATGCTTAATTATGTTTATGTGTTCACTCTTTGGATAAAACAAATCAACTGTACTCTCTCTTAAATACATATAAATTTTCATTTTATTTACAGTTTCTGAGCCTTTTCCTATCCATGACCTTCGCTTAGGAGATATTGTAGTATAATTAGACATAAGAACACAGATGATATTTCAGTCAGATATTTGTGTCAGAATCAAATATGGAGGTGGAATGTCTGCTAATATATGTGTCAGAAAAACGGAAGGAGCCAGGACATCTGATGATATCATTTGATATACTACCGATATTGATAATAAAATTGAAGGTTATTTAAACGTGCTTTATTTTACAGACCCACGATGCCCTCCCAACATGAATGGATTCGGTGGTGTTTGTGCTTTTATGTGTGGCAGTGGAGGATGTGATTCCGGTACAGTTTTTATCTTCTGTATTCGTCATTGTTATTTGATATAAATGTAGAATTAAATTAAAACCATTAGAATGATGTACATTCACATTCACAGTTCAGTATATTCATCACTTTGCAACCGTTACACTTTGTTGAGGAAAATTACATTATTATGTGAATCACTAAGGACAGAATAAAACAGAAGTATTGATATTGCCTATAGTTATATAAGTATAACTTGTTTTATTCAACTTTACTTGTTTCACAAATAACACATTAAATTTAACAAACGTTCACTTCGTAAAGTAATTAGGCGAATTTTTGTAAAACCTGAATACCTAATTACGTTTAAGTCGAAGTTGTTACAAGAAACCCATCAATTCCAAAAAAAGAAGGTTGTTTTAATCATTTTAGTCCTTGTTGTTTACCAAGCAACGAAAAGGACGAATCACATTTTTTTTTAATTTAGTCGTAGTAGTAACCAAAACGTTTGTATCATGAAATATGTTTTATTACGTTAGTCGTAGTAATTACACTAATAGTATCTAAACGCTTTTACTCAGAAAGAAAATATGTTATTGCTGTTAGCCCCAACAGTTAACCCATCAGTTGTACGCCAATCATAGGATTATTTAGTCTCAGTAATTGTGAAACAATAATAACAAACAAAACATCCAAAAGGTTTGAGAGTACACAAAACCATTAATAATATTATGCTTTTTCAGGTAAAATATGCTGTCCAACAGCGTGCGGAGGAACTACTTGTCGTAAGTATAGAAACAATTACACAAACCAAGTGGCGGATTTAAAGTGTGTTTCTTGCTTCTGGACCCACTCAACCTAGATGTTCTTAACAAAAGTGGAAAACGTATTTTTTCCCATATGGAAACCACAATAATAAATTTCGAAGCCCCTAGAATGGTATCTGGCTCCTCTATCAAATACCTAATTTTGTGAACAGTTGTCTATGTTTTTAATTGTATTGATATTGGTACTCAACCGTTAAACCTCAATGGACGAAATGGCTATATTGTGTATCAATGTTAAGTTTGTATTTCTGCATCGACTAATAATTTCTGTAATAGTTCGTTTAACTGTTAATTGTTCTAGACTCTGCTGAAGGACTGTTAGTTTTCTAGGTTGGCTGTTACTTTGTGGCTGAATTTATTGTTGTAAGGTTTACATAAAGCAATAGTAAAAGGATGAATTATCAGTTGAAGCTAGAAGATCTGGATTAAATACTTAAAGAGTTGTAAAGAGTTGTATAGGCACCATTTGCCCCTTTTGCAGTGTTTTACATATGAATCGGGTACACTTTAGATATAACTTTGTATTATTCTGCCATTCGTAAATTTGATGAAATGATTCTTTGTTTGGTTTTCTAGATCGACAGCCCAAAATTTAGAATCAAGCTTTGTACTTCGTAATTCATTGATAAGATGATCAAAGAAAGAAGCGCTTCAGCACCAGTAATGTTTTTTGATTTTATAATTTAACTCAACAGCGTAACGCAACGCATAGTTCAACATGTGAAAAATTTGGAATTGGCTAATTTGTCGTGCTTAATAATGAATACATATTCATTTTCAAAGAAACATAAAATTCTTTGTAGCGAAAGCGAGAAATTCAGCTCCTCAATTTTTGTCTGTAAATGTGAGGTCCTTTATGCATACAAAATCCCATAGAAATTATGTAAATTAGGGTATTCAAACATTTATGTTTTTAACTTGTATTTGCATCAATAGTGTGGCTATTATAGACAAAGTTGATAAATTAACATAAAAAATATAATGTTCGTTTAATCAAATAAAACGCCCTTTTTATATTTGGACCGAATGTCAAGTCCACGTGTTGGTAATCTCATTAATTAAATAACTTCATAGATGTATGATATCTTCCTCAAAGAAAACAGTTTATTTTAAGGACCCCGTACCTGAAACTGAATTCTTGCTTTATAAACTGTTCTTTTTGGCTTACTGCTATAACTTTTATCAATTATTTCTGAAAAGAAAATCATACGTTGTGGGACCATCATGAGAAATAATGAATATCAAAATATAATTACAACAATGTTATGAATGTAAAAATAAATAACCTGGCTGGACTCAAACCCTTGCCTTAGTACTGTTATACTATCTTTCTAATCGATTAAGCTACCCGGTGATCGAAAGTCAACTGGTCCGTATGTGCTGCAGTCTTATCCAAAACGAAAGTAAAAGGAAGTTACTTTATATACAAAAACCCATAGTGTAGTGGGGGACGTGTGACGTGTAACAATTGATTAAAATGGAAGAGTTATAACACACGGCTATGAATTTTATTCAGATTTAAGTCAAAAACATATTCAGGAATATTATTATCGAAAATTTAGTGTATTCAAGCTGGTTAAGCTTTTAAGTGTAAACAATGTTGATGAATTTAATAAAACGGGATATTTTGTACATTGAAGGGTTTGTTATGATACTGTTTCATTTAAGCATGTAAACACCCCGTTATGATTCATTCTCCGTTTGCTTGTATGTATTGTACATATTTATGTTGTATTTGCAACGTATGGGCCGTAAGGCCTACGGAATACAGAACATTGAACATAGAACAAAGTTACTACACGTCGAACGTTACAGTGTAATCAAAAGTCAGGTTTTTGATGATAATGATGAGTCATTGTGAGGATTACCAAGTACTATATCTTAATTTTATTTTTTGAAACGGACGATAAAACACAATATCCTATTGTATACAGGGATTATGATTTTTGCTTAGGAACGGGTTTCAACTAGTTTGATAAATTAAGATGGATAGGGAATGCGTTCGGGCATAAATGCCCGATAACACATTTTAAAACACTCAGCGACCGACATCAAAGGAAAACACTACCATTTGTTTATTAACCTTTGCTCTCAAATCATCAGAACATCTTTTTTATTTAATTTGAGACATCACAAAAGACGATACAACTCATTTAACATACGAATAATAACTTGGATAATGTTGCACTAAACAACATCCCAGAAACATGTTTAAGATGCATATCCCTGAATGATGAGTCGGGAATTTACTATTGAAGATCTCCGTCCATCTGCGAGCAAAACACTAAATACATGTATTTCCACTGCATATACAGTAACCACCCCTTAATTTCGTTTTGGACATAACTTTAGTAGGACAGGGCCAAGATATTACTTCGTTCATTCACTTGGTAATGGTGAAAGTATATAATGATTCAAGGTACAGGATTTGAATCCTTGTCTGACCAAGTTATATTTTTATACTCAGAACACTGTGGTTTATTTGTTTATTTCATCTGATTTATATTTTTTCCCATAAAAACCCGCGAGGTATGTTTTTCTTCTAAGAAATAACTGATCAGAGCAACAAGTTGCCCATGCAAAATTATAGTTTTTGAAGGGGTACGACGCCAATGATTCTTAACTGTGGATTTCTGTTTTCTCTCCAAAACATAGTTAAACTTACCTTAGCAGTGCATATATTCAAATTTCATATAACGTTTATCACTTTATGATTATATGTTGTAGAAACTCCTCGTGCACCTCCGGCTCCGCAGCCCCTTCCCAGCCCCTGTCCTCCGGGCGTGCCCATGGCATCCTGCTCTCATCTTCCATGTGACAAAGAGAGTTGCCCGAACTACCCATACGCCAAATGTGTGTAAGTATGCCAAGTTCGTTTCAAGGTTTAGGGGTTTTATGATGTCTTGCGTATGTTTTTTCTTTCATTCTGGTTTTAACTATTCGTAATAAAACCAAGATCTTGTGTTTTTCTTGTTGTGTTGACGCCGTGTTTTTCCATAGCGCTTTACGATTTTATGTGGATAGTTTGTGTCTCTACTTTTAATTTGTTACTGTTTATAACTAACTATATGTACTTTATTACAGATAAGGTGAAACGGAATATACACCTTGCTAAATAAATAAATAAATCATTATTGGTGTTTTAACCATGGGATTCGAACCATGAAACTCAAATGCTGTCGCCCAATCCGACTGAGCTACTAAATCTGCGATAGTGTCCTGAAATAATCACTCTACATATATATAAAACGAAAGTAGGGGCGGTTACTAATGTATATCCAAAGCAGACTACAGTACAATTATCGAGCGCTTTACTTGCAGTGTGACAGGGATCCTGAAAAGTATTGTATTGCTTGTATGTAAAACTACACCTGTTAGCGCCTGATAGGACAGCTCATGCGAATTCCTCATAAATTGTATAAATTAATGTGTATACTAATTGTATTGATTGTATAAATTGTATATCTATGTACTGTAAAGCGCTTTAGAGTGGCTTATTCTAGCTAGAAAGGGCGTGATATCATATGTTGTATATTATATTTATATTATAATGAAATTTTCTAGATTTTCTTTTCTGCAATAGGTTAGGGATCCTTAATGACATTTAATGTCTCAGTGGTAATAAGAGTAAGCATTGTGGAAGTTTATGAAATGTTGTCTTATGCAGGAACAATTACTGCGGTGGTTGTAATGCAAAGTTCTACCTAAAGGGAAAAGAAGTGACGAAAACCTGTACGAAAACATCACCTATAAAGCCCCACTTACCATCGCCTTGCAAGAAAGGAGTACACATGGTGCAATGCTTCGCCAACCCTTGTGATGTACAACAGTGTCCCAGTCTGCCACATGCTGCGTGTGTGTAAGTATAATTAAGAGTTTGATTGGTGTGTGTAAGTATAGTTAATAGTTTGATTGGTGTGTGTAAGTATAGTTAAGAGTTTGATTGGTGTGTGTAAGTATAATTGATAGTTTGATTGGTGTGTGTAAGTATAATTAATAGTTTGATTGATGTGTGTAAGCATAATTAATAGTTTGATTGGTGTGTGTAAGTATAATTAATAGTTTGATTGGTGTGTGTAAGTATAGTTAATAGTTTGATTGGTGTGTGTTAGTATAGTTAAGAGTTTGATTAGTGTGTAAGCATAGTTAAGAGTTTGATTGGTGTGTGTAAGTATAGTTAAGAGTTTGATTGGTGTGTGTTAGTCGCCAATATTTTTGAAATGTAGTGATATTCAAACAATAATTCAGTAAAGAAGGTGTTAGTAACACTGTTTATCTATCTGAAACTCCATGAAACTATGAAACTATGAACAAAAAAAAAGCTTATACCGAAACCCCTGAAAATAGACCCTTTCATTTGAGACGGATGATCATCTGCTGGTCCATCGACAATACAATTCATGAAAATATGGTCATATTCATGTAATGTCAATTTCCCGAAAGAGCACAGGTGTAGTGGGAACGAATCCACAAAAACAGTTATTTTGATTTGTTTCACTATGAGAATCAATTTCGTTTCCTATGCACTTTTATTAAATCGACTAAAGGGAAAATATGTACAAAACTATGAAAACAGAATCCTATAATTGATTGAATAAGCAGTGGTAGTAGTAAAGCGTGTCATAAAAAAATATTCTTTATATTGAAATACTTTGGAATTTAAATTGATGGCAATATGCTGGTTTGTGATGTTCGATCACATCGAGCGTTTGTTTTGATTTTTATTCAGACGAAATTATTTTATATACAAATTATTTAATAGCAACAATAGGGCATGAATGTGAATTTTACGAATATTTATTAGGTTTCAATCTGATTATCTTATTAATTTAATGCATGAATTTATTCTAAATAATGATACGTATAAACAAAAATGTAGTTATGCAGTTATGCATATTGATGTATATGTATCATTTAAACGCTGTTTTAATGTTTTAGCCAATGTTACTTCGATTGCTTCCTTATTACTTTACTGGTTCCTAATGTTTTTGGTTTTGATTTTCCTCCTACAGATCTGACTACTGTGGAGGCTGCAACGCCAGGTTTTATATTAACAATGAAGAAGTAACAGGAATGTGCAGGAGCGGACGGCGTCCTATCGGTATCCGGCGCCTTTATGGTTAAACGCGACTTCCCATGCCACTGATACAGGGCAAACAACTAATATGTAGAGAACTGTTTATGGTGTCTTCTTCTCCTTTAGTTATCCAATCCTCTTTCAATCATTACGGACTGATATGTCGTGTTGAATTACATGGGATTCATGAGTGTGGTGCAAAATAGCTTTATCACAGGAGTTCAAACTAAATCAGTTTGAGAAATAGCGTTATATTTTCAAAGACCATGGTTCAAATATCGGCCTTTCTCCGCTCTTTCTACATTAAAGAACACTGCTATTGATTATATTTATTTTGTTCAAATTTATTCCTTATTGTGTTTTCTTAGCAAACTCTTAACTATACTTACATACACCAATCAAACTCTAAACTATACTTACACACACCAATCAAACTCTTAAGTATACTTACACAAACCAATCAAACTCTTAACTATTCTTACACACACCAATCAAACTATTAATTATACTTACACACACCAATCAAACACTTAACTACACTAACACACACCAATCAAACTTTAACTATACTTACGCACACGAATCAAACTCTTAACTATACTAACACACACCAATCAAACTCTTAACTATACTGACACACACCAACCAAACTCTAAACTATACTAACACACACCAATCAAACTATTAACTATACTTACACACACCAATCAAACTATTAACTTTACCTACACACATCAATCAAACTCTTAACTATACTTACACACCAATCAAACTCTTAACTATACTTACACACACCAATCAAACTCTTAACCATACTAACACACATCAATCAAACTCATAACTATACTTACACACCAATTAAATTATTAATTATACTGACACACACAAATCAAACTCTAAACTATACTAACACACACCAATCAAACTATTAATTACACTTACACACATCAATCAAACTGTTAACTATGCTTACACACTCCAATCAAACTATTAATTACACTTATACATATCAATCAAACTCTTAACTATACTTACACACACCAATCAAACTCTTAACTATACTTACACACACCAATCAAACTCTTAACTACTCTTACACACACCAATCAAACTATTAATTATACTAACACAAACCATTCAAACTCTTAACTATACTTACACACACCAATCAAACTCTTAACTCTACTAACACACACCAATCAAACTATTAACTATACTTACACACACCAATCAAACTCTTAACTATACTTACACACATCAATCAAACTCTTAACTATTCTTACACACACCAATCAAACTCTTAACTATGCTAACACACTCCAATCAAACTATTAATAATACTTACACACACCAATCAAACTATTAATTATTCTTACACACATCAATCAAACTCTTAACTATACTAACACACACCAATCAAGCTATTTACTATACTTACACAAACCAATCAAACTATTAATTATACTTACACGCATCAATCAAACTCTTAACTATACTAACACACAGCAATCAAACTATTTACTATACTAACACACACCAATCAAACTATATACTATACTTACACACACCAATCAAACTCTTAACTATACTTACACACACCAATCAAACTCTTAACTATACTTACACACACCAATCAAACTATTAACTATACTTACACACACCAATCAAACTATTAACTATACTTACACACACCAATCAAACTCTTAACTATACTTACACACACCAATCAAACTCTTAACTATACTTACACACACCAATCAAACTATTAACTATACTTACACACACCAATCAAACTATTAATTATACTTACACACATCAATCAAACTCTTAACTATACTTACACACACCAATCAAACTATTAACTATACTTACACACACCAATCAAACTATTAATTATACTTACACACATCAATCAAACTCTTAACTATACTTACACACACCAATCAAACTATTAACTTTACTTACACACACCAATCAAACTCTTAACTATACTTACACACACCAATCAACCTCTCAACTATACTAACACACACCAATCAAACTCTTAACTATTCTTACACAAACTAATCAAACTCTTAACTATACTAACACACACCAATCAAACTCTTAACTCTACTAACACACACCAATCAAACTCTTAACTAAACTTACACACACCAATCAAACTCTTAACTATACTTACACACACCAATCAAACTATTAAATATACTTACACACACCAATCAAACTATTAACTATACTTACACACACTAATGAAACTATTAAATATACTTACACACACCAATCAAAATATTAATTATGCTTACACACACGCAGCATGTGGTCGACTGGGACACTGTTGTACATAACAAGTGTTTGTGAAGCATTGCACCATGTGTACTCCTTTCTTGCAAGGCGATGGTAAGTGGGGCTTTATATGTGTTGTTTTCTTACAGGTTTTCGTCACTTCTTTTCCCTTTAGGTAGAACTTTGCATTACAACCACCGCAGTAATTGTTCCTGCATAAGACAACATTTCACATACTTCCACAATGCTTTCTCTTATTACCACTGAGACATTAAATGTCGTTAAGGATCCCTAACCTATTGCAGAAATGAAAATCTAGAAAATTTCATTATCATGTAAATATGATATACAACATATGATATCACGCCCTTTCTTGCTGGAATAAGCCACTCTAAAGCGCTTTACAGTATAGAGATATACAATTTTTACAATCAATATAATTAGTATACACATTAATTTATACAATTTATGAGGAATTCGCATGAGCTGTCCTATCAGGCGCTAACAGTTGTAGTTTTACATACAAGCAATTCAATACTTTTCAGGATCCATGTCACACTGCAAGCAAAGCGCTAGATAATTATTCTGTAGTCTGCTATGGATAAACATTAGTAACCGCCCCTACTTTCGTTTTATATATATGTAGAGTGATTATTTCAGGACACTATCGCAGATTTAGTAGCTCAGTCGGATTGGGCGACAGCATTTGAGTTTCATGGTTCGAATCCCGGTCAGGCCCAGTTATTATTATTGTTAAAACACCAAAAAAAATCGATTTATTCATTTATCTATCTATCCTCTTTTTGTTCATAAAAAGCAAGGTGTATATTCCGTTTCACCTTATCTGTAATAAAGTACATATCGTTAGTTATAAACAGTAACAAATTAAAAGTAGAGACACAAACTATTCACATAAAATCGTAAAGCGCTATGGAAAAATACGGCGTCAACATAACAAGAAAAACAAGATCTTGGTTTTTCTTGGTCGTTCTTCATTCCAGCATGCTACTGGTCATATACAATCAACCGAGCCATCGGGGTTATTCAAAAGAAATTGTTTGAAGTAAAAAAAAAAACGCCAGCTGGCCGGACGACAGACGCCGCACCACGGCATAAGCTCACTTTATGAGCTAATAAAATAATCTGACCATACCACTCTTTGGGTCAGTTGCAAGACCAGTCATGCCATCTCTTTCTATTTGTGATTTGAATGACAATTTAGAGTATATCTTACTCTCCTGATCCTGTCATGTGACTCCACTGGTCAGCTACTAGATGATCATGACCATAATACTACGTTGGTCAATTGCATGACCAAATCATCTTGTCATACAAGTATCTCTATTTGTCGGGAAGGAGACAATTGTGACCATCATACTCTATTTTTAGTTAAATTTTACATTAAGGAGCTGATGAAAACATTATCACATCAATTTGATTTGGACATCACTGAATTCGGACAGTCTGTAAGTATATAATGTGATGAAATGAGTTTAGGATCAATTTTTGTCAGAATTTATTTCTCTAGCTAAACTAAGACCATTTGTTTGTTACATGATTGTTTTTTATAGCAATATAATTCTACTGGTCAGTTAAAAACCATAACACTCTACTGGTGAATGGTAAGTTATTTATGACCATAACACTATCTATCGGTCATTATATGATCATTCTGACCGTTAATTTTTCCTATTGGTCAGTTAAAAGACCATCCTAATCATTTCATTCTCCCTAATGGCCACTAAGACGACTATTCTGACCATGGTCAGTAATAGAAGTCCATTCCAACGATATTATTCTTCCTATTGGTCAGGTACCTTTATTTTCTCTACTGGGTCCCATTCCTCTACCCTGAGTAGGGCAAGTTCTTTTGCTTATACAATGTTGAATACTCGAAGATTAGGATTTTATAGATTCACATACATTTCTCCTCTGCCCAAAAGTAGCTTACACTTGCCTTTATAACTGACAGAGTCCACTAGGTCAAAGGATTCTCCAGAAGAAATGTGTTACAAATTCCTCCATCCCTACTCAAGAAATCAGTCTTTTAAGATTTTCCTGTATTTCCCCTCTGCCCCCAAGAAGGCCACACCCTGCCCATATTCATTGACAGAATCCGAGAACAATTGACTCAGTGGTAAAAACCAACCTATTGGGCCCCGCCCTTCTGCACCCAGAGAGGCCATATCCTCCGTTTTTACGAAATAAGGTCTCCTTAGAAGAACTGCCCAAGGATGATCTCGGCCTAATTTGGATATAATCCCTCCAATATTACAAAAGAAGAAGGAATTTGAAGATTTAAACCCCAAATTTCCCTATTGGGCTCCGCCCCTCTGCAACTCGATGGGCCACATCCTCTATTTATACAAATTGAGTCTCCTTTTCCGCAGGATGCTCCTTGCCAAATTTAGTTGTCGAAATTCATAAAGCTGTTCAGGACAAGTTAAATTTTAACGGAAAAGTTGACGGACGGATGGACAACGGACGACAGACAATGGACAACGGATGACAGACGCTGCAGTATGGCAAAAGCTCACAATGGTCCTTGTACCAGGTGAGCTAAAAGCGATAAAATTATATGTCACATGTGCAATTGTTATCATCATTGTGGACCTCATTCCAGTGTTACATCATCGAACCAATAAAACACCAGGTAAATGTGTTCATGTACGTCATTAATGTGACCAGGTAGATTAACAGGTAACAGGTATATATCTGTATCTAAACTCAAACTGTACATTGGATGGGGGCGTTTCACCTGATAAGTTGTGAGAACTGCTCTGACATTGACTACAAAAAGCCTACAGATCTACTTATACATTTTAGTAAATATTTGCTTACCTTCAAGATAAACAGTCTACAAAACAGGCAAGTGTACATTTTTCCTCTGTAAAACTTGTTTTAATGTGAATTGCAGATCTTTACACTTAAGTAAAGATTATGGAGTTGTAAGGATAAAGAAAAGGGTACTGTTAGCATATACCATTTTGGAGGAGGATACATGTAATGTTAGTACTGGTAAAGTGATACCTTGGAGGAGGATACATTTATTGTAAATACTAGTATTGTGATACTTTGGAGGATAATACAGGTATTGTAAGTTCTGTTAATGTGATACTTTGGAGGAGGATACATGTGTTGTAAGTACTGGTATTGTGATACTTTGGAGGAGGGTACATGTAATGTAAGTACTGGTATTGTGATACTTTGGAGGAGGGTACATGTAATGTAAGTACTGGTATTGTGATACTTTGGAGGAGGATACATGTATTGTAAGTACTGGTATGTGATACTTTGGAGGGGAATATGTGTATGTGAGTACTGGTATATAGTGATACTTTTGAGGGGGAAACATGTATGTGAGTACTGGTATAGTGATACTTTGGAGGGGATACATGTATGTGAGTACTGGTATATAGTGATACTTTGGAGGGGGAAACATGTATGTGAGTACTAGTATTGTGATACTTTGGAGGAGGAAACATGTATTGTAAGTACTGGTAATGTGATACTTTGGCAAAATCATTACCCTCGGCTTTTTGGTTAATCACACGAAGTTGCTTAAAAGTTTGTTTTAGATAATTGACCCTGTGGCCCTGGAATCTAGTCAAGGTCGTTGATTTAAATACTTTTTGTAGCCCTTAATTTATCCCAGCATATTCCTTGCAAATTATATTCATTTTGGGCCTTTTGGTATTCAGCAGAAGTCGTTTAAAGGTGTAAATCTTATATGACCCCAGTGATCTTGAGTATAGGTCAAGGTCATTCATTTGAGCAAACTCGGTAGCCCTTTATGCCAGCATGCTACTAACCAAATATCCTCACTGTTGACCTTTCGGTTATTCATTAGAAGTTGTCTAAAAGTTTATTAAGCCAATTGACCCCTGTGAACTTGCCTTTAAGTCAAGGTCATTCATTTGATCAAACTTGATAGCACTTTATGCCAGCATTTAAATGGCCAAATATCATCCTTGGTCTTTTGGTTACTATGAAGAGTCGTTTAAAGGTTTTAAACAGAGTGGACCCCTGTGACCTTGAATATAGGTTGAGGTCATTGACTTGAAAAAACTTGGAAGCCCTTCATTCCGGCATATTACTGGCTAAATATTATCATCCTTGCTCCTCTGTGGTTATTCAGTAGAAATTGTTCAAAATATTTAACATATTTGACCCATGTGACCTTGAAATAGGCAAAGGGTTTCATTTGAACAAAGTTGGTAGTTCTTCATTCCAGCATGCTTCTGGTCGAATACAATCAACCTAGTCATCTTGGTTATTCTGACGAAGTTGTTTAAAGTAAACAAATGACGCCAGCAGACCGGACGACAGACGTCGCATCACGGCATAAGCTCACTTTATGAGCTTGAAAGTAATCTGGCCATACCACTCTTTTGGTCAGTTGCAAGACCATTCATGCCATCTCTTTCTATTTGTGATTTGAATGACAATTTAGAGTATGTCTTACTCTCTTGATCCTGCCCTGTGACTCCACTGGTCAGTAACTAGATGATCATGACCATAATACTCCTTTGGTCATTTACATGACCAAATCATCTTGTCATACAAGTATCTCTATTTGTCGGGAAGGAAACAATTGTAACTATCATACTCTATATTTAGTTAACTTTTATATGAAGGAGCTGATAAAAAAATCATCACATCAATTTGGTTTGGACATCACTGAATTTGGACAGTCTGTAAGTACATAATGTGCTGAAATGAGTTTAGAATCAATGTATGTCGGAATTCATTTCTCTAGCTAAACTAAGATAATTGGTTTGTTACAAGATTGGTTTTATAGCAATAGAATTCTGCTGGTCAGTTATAAACCATAACACTCTACTGGTGAATGGTAAGTCTACTCTGACCATAACACTAGCTATCTATCGGTCAGTTAGATGACCATTCTGACCATATATTATCCCTATTGGTCAGTTAGACGACCATTCTAATCATTTCATTCTCCCTAATGGTCACTAAGACGACCATTCTCTGACCATGGTCAGTAAAAGAAGCCCATTCCAACGATACTATTCTTCCTTTTGGTCAGTTAAAAGACCATTTTAAATATTTTCCTATATTTTCTCTACTGGGTCCCATTCCTCTCCCCGAGTTGGGCAATTTTCTCTGCTTATACAATGTTGAATACTCGAAGAGTAGGATTTTATAGATTTACATATATTTCTCCTCTGCCCAAACGCAGTTTACACCTGCCTTTATAACTGACAAAGGATTCTCCAGTGTTAAAAATCCCTCTATCCCTACTCAAGAAACACGTCTTTTAAGATTTTCTTGTATTTCAATTTGGATTTGTGGAAGGGATCGAGGTCCACATAACTCCAGCTTCTTAAAACCATGGATGACTGGACGAAAATCATTGATGCATCGGGTTGTATATCGAAGTAGTGTATATGGAGTTTATGAAAGCTTTTGACACTTTTCCGCACATAAGGTTAACCAGCAAACTGAATTCCTGGATTGTCAGTAAAAATTGTAAGCTGAATAATAGCCGCTTTGGCTCAAAGATGGCAGCAAGTTGCTGTAAATGGTCACACTTCTTAATAGAACGAAGTCTCTAAAATAGCAGAAAACCACAAGTACTGTGACCATCATTTGTTGTTCTATGCAGAAATGAGCTACCAGATATTGTTAATTCGAACGCCCTACTGTTTGCCGATGATACTATTTTTTGTTATCTATATACTACTTTATACCACCTACCGATAGGATGATAAATTCATAATCATTGGTTGTCAGTATGAGAAGAAGTTGAGAACGACTTGAGAACAACTTGAGAACGGATGTTCCGATTCCTTAGTACTTGGGAACGAATTTTCCCAAAAAAAGAACCTCTGCTCGCGCCAGATGACGTCCGAACAAAAGTGATTCGCGTAAGAAAATAGTCCGTCATAAACATATAAATACAGAGTTACGGAAAAATATTGTGAGAATAACAACACCATTTCGGGTGTTGATGTGTATACAGAAAAGACAGTAAATATAGGATTGTTTTAAAAATATTTTTTAAGAAGTTTTGAGGTTCATTGTATTCCTCCGCGGAAAACTTCAATTTGTTTACGTTTGTCACAGGCGATCGTTGACCACTTGGCTTAGAATTCATTTGGAAAACATGGTGTTTAGTTGAGTTTTTAGCTCACCTGCCCGAATGGCAAGTGAGCTTATGCCGTGGTGCGGCGTCCGTCGTCCGGACGGACGAACCGGCGTGAGGCCTAGGGTGATGATAATTGGCCAGGAGCAAACTGGGATGAAAGGCTACCAGGTTTGTTCAAATAAATGACCTTCACCTATATTCAAATTCACAGGAGTCATATATGTGGGGAAAACACTGTAAACAACTTCTTCTGAATAACCAAAACGACCTAGGTGATGATCTTTGGCCAGTAGCATGCTGGGATGAAGGGCTACCATTTTATTTTCAAATAAGTGACCTTGACTTATAATCAACGTCACATGGGTCAAATATGTTTAAAACCTTTACCACAACTTTTTCTGAATAACCTAGAGGCCTTGGGTGATGATATTTGGCCAGAAACATACCTGTATGAAGGACTACCAAGCTTGTTCAAATAAATGCCCTTGACTTATATTCAAGTTCAAAGGGGTCAAATATGTTAAAACGTTTAATACAACTTCTGATTAACCAAAGGGCCTAGGATGAGGATATTTGGCCAGTAGCTTGGTGGAATAAGGGATTACTGAGTTTGTCCAAATGAATGATCTTTGTCCATTTTCAAGGTCACAGGGGTCAAATAAGTTAAAATCTTTCGCAACTTCTTTTGGATAACCTAGAGGCCTAGGGTGATGATATTAGGCCAGTAACATTCTGGAATAAAGAGATACATGTACCAAGTTTGCTAAAACAATGACCTTGACTTAAATTCAAGGTCATATGGGCAAATATGATAAAATCTTTTAACGACTTCTGATGAATAACCAAGAGGCCTTGGATGATGATATTTGGCCAGTAACGTGCTGGGATGAATGGCTACCAAAACGGTTGTTCAAATGAATGCCCTTGAATTATGTTCAATTTCATAGGGTTCAGATATGTTGAAAACTGTTAACGACTTCTATATAACCAAAAGGACATTTGTAAGGTTACAGAGGTCACAAATATATTGAAATCTTTAAACAACTTCTGAATAATATAAAGGTCCAGGGTAAAGATAATTGGCAAGAGGCATGCTGGAATAAAAGACTATAAAGTCTGTTCAACTTAATGTCCTTGTTTGACTTTCAAGGTCACATGTGTCACATGTTTAAATCTTTTAATAGATTCTTTTGAATCAAACACTGGTATTTAGCCTATAGTTGTATTTTAGTCCACTTTTAGGACTACAAGTGTAAGATTAATACCAGGTTAGCGCTTCAGGCTCATTGGTCCTCTTGTTATAAATCATTACTGTGAAATAGCTAGCGGTGGCCGGTAGAGGACATGCGTTGCTTTAACAATATTCAGTATGCTTGTTGATATTGTTTTCCACAGGTGTTCCGATATGAAACAAATCTTTCAAAGTATTTTTAGATAACTTCAAACACTATATCGAAATACATGTATACCTTTTCTGTATTTGTAGGTTAAGTAAATATGCCGAGATCATATGTAAACAATGCATCCAACCGAAGTATGGGAAGGGTCGGAATGCCAGTCGGGAGCATGCCTGTTTCAGGGAGGTCATCCGGGTCTTCCGCTAGTGGTGGCGGAGCAAGTTTCGGAGGATCCAGTTCCGGGAGCTATGGAGGATCGTCAACAAAGGCCTACGTAGACAATTCGTACAACCGTAGCGTTGGAAGAGTGGGAATGGATCATGGAACAGCGGTGATGTCAAAATCCTCCTCCTCTTCAACATCGCAAAGCTCTTCTCCTAAAACATACGTGGATAATGCGTACAACCGGAACCTAGGAAGGGTGGGAATGGATCATGGAACAGCGGTGATGTCAAAATCCCCCTCCTCTTCAACATCGCAAAGCTCTTCTCCCAAAACATACGTTGATAATGCCCAAAACAGGAGAGAAGGTAGGGTGGGAAAGAAGCATGGCACAGCGGTGATTTCAAAGAGTTCTTCACAGTCACCTGGTGCCAAAGTATATGTTGATAACCCCTTTAACCGGCGCGAAGGGCGTGTTGGCATGCCGCTCGGATCCATGCCTGTGTCACGAAGGTCCGGTTCTAAGAAGGAACCAGCAAAGGAACCATCAAAGGAACCATCAAAGGAATCACCAAAGAAACCACCAGAGAAACCAAAAAAGAAACAGAAGGAAAGCAGCATGACATGTTTGATTAATGACTTGATAGATGACTGTTATGATAGACCAGTAAGTATATCGCAGTATCCGTTTCTGATACAGATAATTTGCTTAATGTTACAGGTGTATATGACATGCGTCCAATTAGGGGATAATCCTACAGTATTTTGACATTTGCGAGGGTATATCGTGATTATTCTGTCGCAAATTGAGTTTTACTGGCGACGTGGAGCAGAGCCAGTAAAACAGATGTTCGTGACAGTATAATCACAATATGCCACCGCAAATTGCAAAATACAGAAGGGTTCTCCCCATTCTAATTCATTTTAAACTACAAACACCGAACGAAATGACGATATTTTTGAGTTATTTCTTCAAATTTTTGGTCTCTCCAGTCAGGCGGAATTACATTGACCTTTCAGAATCACGATAGTGTTCGCGGCCTCATGAATAATCAATTTCATGCCGTGTTACATCTCAAATATTTAGAATTTCCAATAGAAATTGACACAACAAACCCGGAAACTACTGAAGGATAGTCCAATGATTTAAAAAAAAAACTAGATATAACACTAACACAAATCACAGGAATTAGGTAGATAGTAGCAATAAAAACAAGGGAAAACCAAAACGCTTATTAGAACTTCTTATCGATAAAACTGGGGAAAATATGTTCAAGCGAGAGATTTACATGGATACCGTCTATATCTTGGATTCGAGATAATCCCTTTAAACAGTTGCATAAATACTTCGAGAAAATCCCTCTAAATATTGTATACTAATGTTTTAAGATAATTATCTTCGATCCCTTAAATTGATGTTTGCATCATTTATTATAATGTAAGTGAATTTGTAAATGTTAAGGTAAATTATTATATAATGCTTGCCGTACCTTTAAGATCTGTATTTCATTCGTCTTTCAGGAAGAAGATATTAACCTAGGACATCTACAAGAAAATTCTCCGTTCGCCGAGGAAGCTAGTGAGCAGGCAGTGGACCTCATCAACCGTATGGAGCAGGTCCAGTTATTGCAACAGGAATCACAAAATAGCAAAGAACCTTTGACGTCATTTGATCTTCTTAAAAGTTATCGCGGAGAAAGAATCGAATTTGATGAGCTGGATATGAGAAAAAAAATTGGCCATGGAGGATTCGGAGACATCTATTGCGCTAGATGGAAGGGTACTGTAGTGGCTGTTAAGAAACTGCGGGTCCAGAGAGTATCGAAGAAACGATTACAAGAGTTTACTTCGGAAGTGCAAGTCTTCTGTGCACTCGACCATCCTAATATCGTCAAGTTCATTGGAGCCTGTTGTGAGACCCCGAGCATCGCTATCGTCATGGAGTTCATGGAAAGCTGTCTGTTTCAAATACTTCACATTTCTGCAGATTCGGATACCATCCTTACAGAAGACAGCAAGCTGAGCATCATTATTCAGATATCCCGTGGACTAGCATACTTGCACGAGAAAAACATCGCTCATTGTGACATCAAGTCCCAGAACGTATTGATGGATTCCAGGGAGGGTGGTTACGTGGCGAAGATTACTGACTTCGGGCTTAGCATGATGAGAAATAGTTCCGATACGTCGTCAACAACGCATGATCAGGTAAGAGTTGCACAACTTGACAAATATGTGTTTACAGTAGATACAGTAGTTAAAAGATATACTTTGACTGTTTACAAGAGCAGATCAGTTATGGAATGTAGTTATATATATCCTACATTTTCCCTTAAGGATCTGCAATTGTGAAAAATCAAATATTTCTTCTTTGTTGGAGCAATACCTGTTTTTAAAGTAGGGGAATATGATACAAAGATGATATTATGTGCGTGCTACACAGGACATTTCACGAAGAGTGCCAACTTGGGAGACAACTCAATATGTCGTGTAACTATGATGTTACCGTTACTGGAATTCTTGAATTGATATTATTTATATACAGAAAGAGGTCGAGTTGTCTTCCTTTTTACATTCTCCTTGTAACCTTGTAAATACCCACATGTGTGCAGTTTATCTTGTTCAATTACAAATATGTATTACGAGCATCAGACAGTAAATAAGGATATATAAATGTGGTGTGTTCATTTCATTTAAACTGTTATGACTCTTATAAAGACCCGTGTTGTGGTTTAATTGACAAAGGGTATATTATCATCCATGAAATGGGACATTTCGCATTTACTTAAATTGGTGTTTTGATTAAAACATTTATTGCCTTTTTTATAGAGATAAGATATAACAATATGCAATAACACGTGTCATTGTTGAACGTTTCCTGTGTTTTTAAATGTTGACTTCTTTACAATTGCCATAAGTTGAATCTTTGTTATTCAACAGGTGCGGAACATCGGAACCCCTCGTTATTCTGCCCCTGAAGTACTGCGCGGGGAACTGTTAGACCGGGCTGCTATGATGAGAGCCGATGTTTACTCTCTTGGTGTTGTGGTGTTCGAGATCATCTCCGAAGATGAACCATTTGATTCCCTAAATGCCAAACAAATAGAACGTTATGTAGGAAATGGAGAGGAAAGACCTGTGTTTGGATCTGACACAGATGAAAATGTTGAGGAAAACGTCAAAACATGTTGGAGCCGGGATCCGTCCCTCCGACCTTCTGCACCAAGTTTTCGTGACTCTGTTGAAAAGTGGGAGTCTCTCTTTATGTGACACTTAGACCAGCATTGACATTTTCTCTTGAAAGTCTTCCTTTCAAACATGACATTTACTCACAGTAAAAAAAAATAATGTGCGAGGCGAACCAGTTTACTTTATCATATACATGTAATGATATTATTATGTGTCAATTTTCTGTTTAATCTTATTGCATCTTGTATATCGAAAAGCATATACCCGTATGTACATATAATTTAAGCACCTTCAATACCATATCAAAGATATCAGAATAGTATAGCCTTAATAGGTAAATATATACTTAATTATCATAACATACATTATATATGGATTTTGACGATAGTTCTGGAGTAGTCAGCGGGTGTCAGCTAGGTTTTTCATTTCTTTACCCATAGAGGATTTAAAATATGATATAGGAAATAGTAAGCTTGGAACACGTTTAAGCTTTAGAGAATGAAAATATTCGACCATCATTCCAATTTTTTTTCAAACATTTCAATTTCACCTCTCCCTTGGTATATTACCTTGACAAGCTCATGTATATTAAATTAAAACAATCAGTAATTCTAGGATTTCTTTTCTTTATGGGATAAAGGAGGTGAAGAATTTTGTGTGATTCATGATGATATTAGTCGGAATAGATTTTTGAAATTCAAAAGTATATCTTCTTTTATTTCAAATGTTTTAGGTGTATCCATCTACGTATGTCTGTCAGAAGTTCTTTGTTATTCTATACTTGTAAGCAAGAGGTTCTATAATGTCTTTGCTTTCTTGACATAGATTATATACATCACATTGTTTGATTCTAAAAAAAAATCAAATAATGATAAAGTTGAAGTTATATTTGGGGGGGTTTCCTCTTTTTCTTCAAATTTTTACATTTGTATACAATACAGTTACAATATATACATAGCATGACATAACACAAACATATATATAAAGACACACACACTCATTCATTATCATACAAACACCAATACAATTATCAGAAAGGACAGTTAGGATTGTTGAACATTTGTATTACATTTTGAATTTGTAAGCTATCTGTCAGTGTGAGCGTAATCAATATTTACATTTACTCAATATAAAAATGATATTCATAAATTGATAAGTTTCTAAAGGTTAATCAGTCGTAATTTCAGGTTTGGGTGTTTCAAAAAAGGTTTTGCCATTTGGCCCATTCTCTTTGAAACTGGTTTAAGTATCTTTCTCCCTTACTTCTGGCAATGTATTTTTGAGTTGTATATGTATCTTTTAGTTTATTTTTCAGGGCAATAATGCAGAGTTCGTTCTTGAGGCACCTTGATTTGTAAATATATTGTTTTATTGTAAAGATGATCATATTATCCACTTTTCTGTTTATTCCATTCTGACTATGTGTACCAAAAACAAAAGATTTCTTATTAAATTCAAATGGATTGAACAGAGAATTCAACAAATTTTCTAGGTTTACAAGTAAAATTTGAACTTTTTCACAGTTCCATAGCGTATGCTCTATTGTTTCAATTTCTGTTTTACAAATGTTACAATAAGGACTGTCTACTAACCCAACTTTAATTAAATACGAATTTGTTGTTAGAATATGGTGATTAACCCAAAACTGGAACCATTGCAATTTTGTATTTTTTGTTATAGAAGTTTAAAATCATTTTCCAATCACCTTCATCAATTAAAATTGTTCATCCCATTTTTTTGTTCCACTTGCAATTATACTAGCGGAAAAAAGAAACTGTGCATGCCTAAAATGTGTTATAAAAATAAATGTGTATGACGTAGAACAACAAGGTTTTCAGGGACCATTTATGTGTTATTTATGAACAATTGCATTCCATTTTCTACGCTAAAGAATCAATAAGTTTCGCTCAGTAGTGACGTTAACACAGCCGGGGTCATTACTGAGTTCACAAAGTTAATACCCCGTATGTCCACCGTTTGCCTTAATGCAAGCCTTGAAACGTCGACGCATGGAGCCTATCAGACGGTTCAAAAATGCTTCTGGGATGGCATTCCAGATCTGTACCAACGCTGTAGGCAAATCAGCCAACGTCACCGGTTGATTACGTAATGCCCGTAATCTGCACTTCATTTCGTCTCAGACGTGTTCAATGGGCGACAGATCGGGAGAAGCCGAATATGGTTGGCCTGTTGACGTGACATCACAGGTGGACGTCCCGCACGAGGTCGATCGCCGACGTGGCCAAACTGTTGATGTCGTCTCCACACATCCCGGATTGTGTTTCGATGGACACGAAAACGTGTAGAACGGCTTGGCACATACCAGCTTGAAGCATACCAATAATCAGGAGGCGGTCATTTTCATTGAGCCTAGGCATAGCATTAAACACGTTATAATGCTGTTTTTACTGTTCACTGGCTCAACAGAGTGACCAAACAGTTAAAAAATAAACTTTCATTGTCGAATTGGATGGCTGAACGAGAAAAACATGCAAATTGGTCAACGCCTATAGAGAGAAAACTGCACGGGAAAAACTGTCAATGACACACGGATAGTGTGTATGTGTCATACTCGGGCATATGTGTGAATTTTCATGTATATACAGTTGGTTATACATGTTCTATTACAATTCTCCGCATGCACAGTTTCTTTTGTCATTGTTAATAGTATATATCATCTTTACTAAGCACATTATAAAAATCTTTTGTACCTTTCTGTTTCTTAGCAAATATTTGTAATTTTCTTGGAATAAAAGGATAGTCTATTTTTGGATGGGTCAAGTTACACCGACTGCAAAGCTCCTTTATAGCTGTAACAATGCCGTGATATTGTAAGAAATTTGTTCTAATATATTAATATATAATATATATGTAATATATTTCTCTTAACTCAAAAAACCCCGTAGAAGTTGTTGTTATCCTTTTTTAAGTCATTAACTTCTTCAACTCCCTTCCCAAACCAATCCTTATAAAAAACACTGTTATTATCTATTTTGATTTATTCGCTAAACAATATAGGCATGTCAGAGATCTGTTTTGAATCTGTATATTATTTTCCTCAGGAATAGTAAGATTTTTCCATGCAAGAAAGACATCTGTCCAGAAAAGATTTTTACAGTTATTATGACAAAAGGAAATATAGTCCGATCCACAGTTTACAAGAAGGTTTTTATCAATAGTTGAATTAAAAATAATTTGCCATGCTCCTGGTGTTGAGAGTAATCTTCTAATCCAAGTTAGTTTTAATGAGTCTATAAATGATTTAATATGAACTTTTTTAAGACCACCATCAGAAAAGTTTTTAATAATTACATCTCTTTTAATTTTATCAATCTTACTATTCCAGAGTAAGGTTAGATATTTCTGTATTTATCTTCTTGAGAAATGTATTATCAGGATAAAGCGTTATATAAGTGATTAAATTGAGAAATTAGGATAGACTTTATTATATTTATTCTCCCTATTGGTGTAAGAATTCTCCTACCCCAAGTCTTCATCAAAGCTTTAAGTTTTATTAGTTTTTTATCAAAATTCATTTTTTTAATACGACGTAGATCAACATGAAAACCAATACCCGGAAGTGTAAACCTTGTATGCCCCGAATGTAAATTCCATTCATTAGCCATAACCTAATCACTATTTTTTTACTCCCTCACCAAACTACTTCGGTTTTTGCCAAATTCCTTTTTAATCCGGATATTTTTTCAAAGTATTTTAATTCTTTTATAGAATCTTTAAGTGATGTTTCTGATCCGTCCAGAATTAAAGATGTGTCGTCTGCATATTGTGAAAGTAAAATAGGTTGTTAAGCTTCAAGAACTTTTAAGCTTTTGATATTCTTGTTATTTCTTATTTTGATTGACAAAATTTCTGAACAGAGGATAAAAATATAAGGTGATATCGGATAACCTTGTCGGCAACCCCTTTTTATATCAAAGAACTTTGACAGATCCACCCCCAACCCCCCCCACCACCACCNCCTGCTATTGTTCCAGAAGCTATTTTATATACTATATTTAAAAGAGAAATAGGTCTCCAGTTTTGTAGGAATTGACGTGGCTTATCTCCCTTTGGTAAACAAGTAATTATGCCATGTTTTGGAGTTACAGATAATTCACCTTTTTTATAACTATTGTAAATAGATCTTACTACAAAAATACCTTACTGTTTCCAAAAACACTTAAAAAATTCGACTGTGAATCCATCTGAGCCAGGACTTTTATTATTTTTCATATTATAAAGAGTTTTTGATGCCTCAGTTATAGAGATAGGACCTTCTTAGTTTTCAGATTCTGTAACATTTAACTTTGGAATATCAATATTTTCAAATAGATTGTCTAAGTTAACATCCTCTATAGTATCATAATTATTATACAGTTTTTTATAGAAAACAAAAACGTTCAGAATGTCTACTTATCAGAAATCAAAGTGCCATTTTCTTTTACTATTCTTGGTATAATTTTGGACGTAAAATTTCTGTTTTCTAAATGAAAAAAAAAAAGTTGTTTTTTCTCCTTCTTCTATCCATTTTGCTTTAGACCTGATTATGCTTCCTTTTAGTTTATGGAGTCGAATACTTTCTAGTTCTCTTTTCTTCCTTCTAACTTTTCCTAATCTATTCTTTCTGAATCTTCAATATTCTTTATCTCATCTCTCATCTTTAAGATTATTTTCTCGAATGATTTGTTGTTTTTTCCTGTCTCGAAAAACAGCTGTTTATTAATTATAAATTGGATATCTGTATCAGGAATGAGATTAATGCTATCAATTTGGTACACTGGAATAGCATATTGTTCTTTAATTTCCTCTGTAGACTTTTTGACAAGATCTAAATATTCAAATTCCTGTAGTTAAGAGTTATTGAACTTCCAAAGGCCCTTTCCTTTTTTGAAATCATTGAATTTTAGAGAAACAGTTGGTATCGAATGATCTGATCTATATTCTGGCTCAATAGTGGATTCATATAAACGGAAGTATTATTGATACAAACCTGAAAGTGGACCATTGAATGCTTGTGTCTAATGTTATTATATAACCAGTTAACAGTGGAGATAAGTTGGTTAGATAGACATTTTACTTTTGCTGTGTTTGTAAATTTTAATCTAGTATGGAGAATGTTGTACGTGTGTCTTCTTCCTTTCTGATTATTTAATGCTACATTGGTGTGAAAGGGTTTAAACGGTCTTTCAATGAATGGCTTTGTTATCTTATGTCGTGACATGTCATAAATGTTTTCATTGATTCGCAAATGCTGTTGTTCTGTAGCAAGTTTCCAGTGATAAAATTATTCTTTTCTTTAAAATCTGTATAGCTTAAATAATCACCATTCGTTTATATTATATCCCTAACATATACTACAGATTTTAAATGCCCTTCATTATAGAAAAGGTGATCATTATTAAATCTTAAAATTTCTATTTTACCAAATTGGCATTTTTAAAAGGTCATCAAAATGTTTTAATATTTGTCATTTCTGCTTCTTTGGTCCATGCTTCAAAAATATTCTTCCAAATTTAGTTTATGTATGAAGATTTTTAATATATTCAATTCCTAGATCTCCTGTTATTTTAGATTTTCAAATTTCCCCAAACAAGTTTAGTTATTCATTATCTTTAGAACGGAGTATTCTCCTAATCCATGTTGTTTAAAGTCTATACATTAATACTTAAAATCAAATATCCTTAGTCGACAATGATAGCTTATACTTCAGCTTCCAATTAATAGGTAAGATGACACTGGATAATATTATCGCGAATGTGAAAAAGTGATAGTAAAACCCATATATTATGATATTTACATTTGCTCTGCATCGCCACAATATCACACTACCAAGGCCAGCTCCGTGTTGATAGACCATAACACAGGCGTAGCGATATCTCCACGGGTCCCCCTCCGCACTGGGAAGCAAGAAAGCAAAGAATCAATTATGGTTCACTAGTATTCACCGTTTTATGTAAGACTATCATAAAATTTGAATTGAATATATTGCTTGATTAAATAATTGAAATTGTATCGTGTTTTTGTGTTTATTTCAACGAACATCCTTCCAAGCAATTCATTGAGAAGACAAGTGTTGTTATGAGACTATAACAACATTTGCTATGGTAACGTCATCAATCTTTATTGTGACATCGTTAGTTTCATTGTGGTCAAGATTAAATTTGGAGTTCGAAATAACTAAATAAAGCGTAACTACTCTGCCAAATTGAAAATATAAATTATGAATGTTTTAGCAAATATTGTTATGGTCCTATAACACACATTACTATTGATGACATACTTACATAAAGCCCTATCGGGCTTTTCTAAGTTTGTCATCAATAGCAATTTTTGTTATAACAACAATTGATAATCAATAATTGTTTAATTAAACGTTAAACACTTACAACTTGGCAACAACAAACATTATTCTTAAAGTAGTATTGCCAGCGTAAATTTCAGCTACAAGGTTACTGCCGGCTTTGAGGACCGATTGTCCACCAGCAGAGTGTACCACCTTGTTGAACTCATTCAATCTTGTTACGTAAGATCAATAGAATCGTACATTGATGTGGTCCATGGACAGGTAAATCTCAACCCAAGGGTAAGAGATTGGCTGTGTAGCATGAGGCTTTGTTAAACTCTTGCCTGAGTGTTGAGATCTCCTTGTCCACGGACCATACCTATTTTTGATTCTTGTATTCCATAAGGCGCATGTAAATTCTATAGGGGTGACGAACCCTGAAAATAAAATCAGAAATCCGTTTAAAACACAACGTTAATAACACTTTATTTAATAATACAATACAATACAATATAATACAATACAATACAATACAAAAGTGTCACATGTCAATTTTTCTTAAAATACATATATACAAGCATGGTCTAAAATGTACAACAATATATGATTGACACCCAACCTATAATGAGGCTTACGAAACACTTTAGATATTCGTTAATACGACGTAATTTATCAATACTAAAAATCAATTCATAGATATTAAAAATGAAAAAGGTTAAGACTTAATATTAAAAACACATTCTTCTACGATACACCTTATGACTGTGCCCCAAAAACTGTAAATTTCACGTCTTCCACGGGCAAGTATGGGAGAAAGAAACACTTGAACTGTGAAGTAAGGAAGCGCTTTGACCACTACAATCCAAACTAAGACCTAATTAGACCCCACATCTGTTTCAATTTACACTAATAATTCCATAGATGGAGTTGACTTCTCGGCACAGTTTATGTTCTCGTCACGTCAATCAACAACGAATACAGTGTTATACTGCTTACCTACTATAAGTTTCTTCAACGAGATCAAGTTTCAAAGTAACGTCATCGGCGGTTCTGTATGATATATTAAGAAATCCTTTGTGATTTACAGAAAACATTTAATTCAACAGACGAAAGTAGAACAGAAAGTCATCACCGTACCTTATTTCTCTATTTGCATTGTATACATTTCTTCAATGAGATCAAGTCACAACGTTACGTGATCAGCGGTTCTATGTGATATGTGTTTACCTGTATATTAAAAGTCCCTCTGTGATTCACTGAAAATATCTAATTTACAAACGAAAGTGTATTTAATTTCGCTTTATATGAACAAATTAAATTCGAAAGTACCGTGTACAGAAGCTTAGTGTATAATATTCACAAAAGTCTGGGTGCACTGTATTCTTCAAAGCTCATGTCAGATGTATTTGTCGTGTATAAATGAATTAATTGACTGTTACGTCAAAATTCATGATCGTGATCGTGACGTCTGACCACATTTTTAAAATGCAATAAATATGTTGACGTGCCTCGAGTTAAGCTGGTAGTGCGTGAAACTGTTCTAGAATTATGCATCGTAACTTAACGTTGTCATTTGCCGAATAAAGCATTAACCAAAAACGAGTTTAGACAATGGCTTTGAATTTACCTTTTTTTTAAAAAGAAGCACACCTATTTGTAGGGAAGGCAGGGAAACCAAAAGGAAATGAAACGTAACACGAATAAGGACCAATCAGGTGCTTTGTTTTGTTGTTAGCTGTGACGTTTGTCGGTCAATATTGAGATGCATACGCAGCTTAACGACATATTTTTGAAGAAAAAACATTTATGTCCTATTTTAACACAATTTCCAAACTGTCTGGTATAAGTAAGACCTACTTACAGATGTAAGACGTTACAGGAGAAATTAAGTATATCAGATAAAATTGATTTTCTGAATGTTTTTGTTACACATTTTAATATATGAAGTATACATCTTTTTCATACAAATAAAATTATTCCATATACAGCTTTAGACTTAAACTAAAAGACCAAAAAGACACTATTATCGGTTCATAAATCATACTACATTAAACAATACAAAAAATACAATATAAGTACGATTTATCAAAGTTTATATTTGAGTTAAAATGTATATAACAAATTCATTTCTATCACAAACCATGCTTAGTTGTTTACGTGTTGGAGTAACATTGTATACAAATAATATTTCATAACATATTGTCGAAGCTTTAATATAAGTAATAACAAGGAAATTTACAAGCACAAGCTGAATACTGGGAAACGCTGACAGGAAATATGACGTAGTAAATGCTCCGGTGTCACGGTCCATCAATCACACAGCGCACCGCGACATACCATAGCTAGACATGTACGTGTGGTCAGGTTTTTACCTGGAACACAACACTCCTCCATGTGAAAATTGGAATCTCATTACCGGGAACACACTCTCGTGGTCACTGATGTATAAAAGGATAAATAAATTTGAATACCTTACACTCTGTAAGCATCACGCGACGGTAATAGACTGATACACATACTTAACCAGGAATCACATACACACACATTGTATAGGATTTGTCTATAATGATGTTGGTGGTTATACTTATGATTTCGGCAGTCCATCTACATGGTTCTTTAGCAGGTAAGAGTGACAAATAATATGTCTGAAAATGGAATCGAAAACTTAAATAATATTAATTGAATGGTCGCATAGTTGTGTGTTCTTTTGAGTAAAAAAGTTATTTTAAACTTGATTCATTCACCTGTGGAAACAAACGCAGATTATTCACCTATAGAAACATGAGCAGATAACATTTGACAAGTTTCTCTAGCTTGTATCCGATATACATGTACTATAGAACTAAAATTCTTGACTTAATACTGTTAAATACCCTGTATATTATAGAATAATTATCGTTTCTTCATTTCTTGTGTTTCTGGCAAATTTATATAATTAACTTACTGACAATATTAATGTTTGGAAACATAAACTGATGGTCCCTTCGATTAATATTCCAATTGTTCAAGGATTTTATGATATGCTTAAACGTATTTCTTAATACATATTTCTTATTTTTAATAGTAAGATTTACGGCCTTTGAAATAAACGACTAACCAGTACATGGAAAAGTTTCTTAAAATATATGTTTCCAAAAGCATATATTTATAAAGGTTTGTTTTGTTGTAATGGTGTGTTTATTTGTTTTCATCATTTTGATGTCTCCTCGGCTCCTGTTGTTGCCTTTTCTTGTCAATTTAATGCTTAATCATGTTTTTGTGTTCACGCTTTGGATAAAAAAAATCAACTGTACTCTCTTTTAAATACATATAACTTTTCATTTTATTTACAGTTTCTGAGCCTTTTCCTATTCGTGATCTTCGCTTAGGGAGAGGTTAGTATGAAACAAACTGTTTGAAACAAAAACCTGTTTGAATAACGGGAATATGTAGCGTCAGAGATGCTTTTGACGAAGAATATGGAAAAGTTTTCCTACGGTGAATTTCCCTTTCTTGGTAGTAACATCCAGGTACCCATGCCTACGGTGTTCACATGTCGCAGTTGATTCGGTGTTCAAGAAGTTTATTTTGATATTATGGCTTTTGTGATAGATATCTACTTCTAAGGGACAAAATTACAACACAGGGCTTCCAAAGAAACGGGTTGATGAAGACTATACACACGTTTTATGAAAGAAATCGAGATCTCCTTGAAAATTCCCTTTTTTGTGTGAAGGTCCATGTTTCAGGAAATGCTCATCAGCACGCCTTGTTGTTTTGTTGTCATAACCCCGGTTCTCGCTTCGAGGACGTGACATAACATGGATTTGATTGTATCCTTCGGGAACGCCTGGACTTATCTCTGTCCCACTGTGCTGTATTTTGGTATTTAGTAACCTCCCCTAACTTTTGTTTTGGAGATAATTGTAGCATAATTAGACATAAGAACACAGATGATATTTCAGTCAGATATTTGTGTCAGAATCTAATAGGGAGGTGGAATGTCTGCAAAAATATGTATCAGAAAAACGAAAGGAGTCATGACATCTGATGATATCTAAGCCTATAAATTATATGCATAATGTCATATGAAATTCGAACGATATTTAAAATAAAATTGAAGGTAATTTAAACGTGCTTTATTTTACAGATCCACGATGCCCTCCCAACATGAGTGGATTCGGTATTTGTGCTTTTATGTGTGGCAGTGGAGGATGTGATTCCGGTACAGTTTTTATCTTGTGTATTCGTCATTGTTATTTGACATAAATGTGGAATTAAATTAAAACCATTAGAATGATGTACATTCACATTAATATTCAGTATACCAGAGTCATTCATCACTTTGCAACCTTTACACTTTGTTGAGGAAAATTAAATTATTATGTGAATCACTACGGACAGAATAAAACAGAAGTATTTATATTGCCTATAGTTATATAAATATAACTAGTTTTATTTAACTTTACTTGTTTCACAAATAACACATTACATTTAACAAACGTTCACTTAGTAAAGTAATTAGGCGAATTTTTGTAAAACATGAATATCTTTTTACGTTTTAGTCAAAGCTTTTACAAGAAACCCATCAATTCCAAAAAACGTTGTTTTAATTATTTTAGTCCTTGTTGTTTACCCAGCAACGAAAAGGTCGTACCACATGTTTTTTACTTTAGTCGTAGTAGTTACCAAAACGTTTGTATCATGAAATATGTTTTATGACTTTAGTCGTAGTAATTACCCTAATAGTATCCAAACGCTTTTACTCAGAAAGAAAATATGTTATTGCTGTTAGCCCCAGCAGTTCACCCATCAGTTGTACGCCAATCATAGGATTATTTAGTCTCAGTAATTGTGAAACAATAATAACAAACAAAACATTCAAAATGTTTGAGAGTACACAAAACCATTAATAATATTATGCTTTTTTTCAGGTAAAATATGCTGTCCAACAGCGTGCGGAGGAACTACTTGTCGTAAGTATAGAAACAATTACACAAACCAAGTGGCGGATTTATGGTGTGTTTCTTGCTTCTGGACCCTCTCAACCTAGATGTTCTTAACAAAAGTGAAAAACGTATTTTTCCCCATTTGGAAACCATAAAAATAAATTTCGAAGCCCCTAGAATGGTATCTGGCTCCTCTATCAAATAACTAATTGTGTGAACAGTTGTCTATGTTTTTAAATGTATTGACATTGGTAGTCACCTATTAAACCTCAATGGACGAAATGGGTACATGGTGTATAAATGTAAAGTTTGTATTTCTGCATCGACTAATAACTTCTTTAATAGTTCGTTTTACTGTTAATTGTTCTAGACTCTGCTGAAGGACGGTTAGTTTTCTAGGTTGGCTATTACTTTGTGGCTGAATTTATTGTTGTAAGGTTTACATAAAGAAATAGTTAAAGGATGAATTATCAGTTGAAGGTAAAAGATCTGGATTAAATACTTTTTAAAGAGTTTTATAGACACCCTTTCCCCCTTTTGCAGTGTTTTACATATGTGTCGGGACACTTTAGATATAACTTTGTGTTATTCTGCCATTCGTAAATTTGATGAAATGATTCTTTGTTTGATTTTCTTCATCGACAACCTTATATGGAAGAGTCATAACACATTGCTATGAATTTTATTCAGATTTAAGTCAAAAACTTTTTAAAATTTAGTGTATTCAAGCTGGTTTAGCTTTTAAGTGTAAACAATGTTGATGAACTTAATAAAACGGCACATTTTGTTCATTGGCATTCACGAAAAGCAGAAATAAATTGAATTGAATATGATTCATTCTCCGTTTGCTTGTATATATTGTACATATTAATGTTGTATTTGCAACTTATGGGCCGTAAGGCCTACGGAATATAGAACATTGAACATAGAACAAAGTTACTACACGTCCAACGTTACAGTGTAATCAAAACTCAGCATTTTGATGATGATGAGTCTTTGTGAGGATTACCAAGTACTATAACTTAATTTTATTTTTTTGAAACGGTCGATAAAATAAATCTTTCCTATTGTATACAGGGATTATGATTTTTGCTTAGGAACGGGTTTCAACTAGTTTGATAAATTAAGATGGATAGGAAACGCGTTCGGGCATAAATGCCCGATAACACATTTTAAAACACTCAGCGACCGGAATCAAAGGAAAACACTCCCATTTGTTTGTTAAGCTTTGCTCTCAAATCATTAGATCATCTTTTTTATTTAATTTGAGACGTCATAAAAAGCGATACAATACATTTAACATACGTATAATAACTTGGATAATGTTGCACTAATCAACATCCAAGAAACATATTCAAGATGCATATCCCTGAATGATGCATATATTTAAATTTCATATACCGTTTATCACTTTATGATTATATGTTGTAGAAACTCCTCGTGCACCTTCGGCTCCGCAGCCCCTTCCCAGCCCCTGTCCTCCGGGCGTGCCCATGGCATCCTGCTCTCATCTTCCATGTGACAAAGAGAGTTGCCCGAACTACCCATACGCCAAATGTGTGTAAGTATGCCAAGTTCGTTTCAAGGTTTAGGGTTTTATGATGTCTTGCGTATGTTTTTTTCTTTCATTCTGGTTTTAACTATTCGTAATAAAACCAAGATCTTGTGTTTTTCTTGTTGTGTTGACGCCGTATTTTTCCATAGAGCTTTACGATTTTATGTAGATAGTTAATATCTCTACTTTTAATTTGTTACTGTTTATAACTATCGAGATGTACTTTATTACAGATCAGGTGAAACGGAATATACACCTTGTTTTTTGTGAACAAAAAGAGGATAGATAGATAAATGAACAAATGAATAAGTATTGGTGTTTTAACAATAGTAATGCAACTGGGCCTGACCGGGATTCGAACCATGAAACTCAAATGCTGTCGCCCAATCTGACTGAGCTACTAAATCTGAGATAGTGCCCTGAAATAATCACTCTACATGTATATATAAAACGAAAGTAGGGGCGGTTACTAATGTATATCCATAGCAGACTACAGTATAATTATCTAGCGCTTTTCTTGCACCTGAAAAGTATTGTATTACTTGTATGAAAAACTTCAACTGTTAGCGCCTGATAGGACAGCTCCTGCGAATTCCTCCTTAATTGTATAGATTGATGTATATACCAATTTATTGATTGTATAAAATGTATATCTATGTACTGTAAAGCGCTTTAGAGTGGCGTATTCTAGCTAGAAAGGGCGTTATATCATATGTTGTATATTACATTTATATTATAATGAATTTTTCTAGATTTTCTTTTCTGCTATAGGCTAGGGATCCTTAACGACATTTAATGTCTCAGTGGTAATAAGAGCAAGCATTGTGGAAGTATATGAAATGTTGTCTTATGCAGGAACAATTACTGCGGTGGTTGTAATGCAAAGTTCTACGTAAAGGGAAAAGAAGTGACGAAAACCTGTAAGAAAATAACACCTATTAAGCCCCACTTACCATCGCCTTGCAAGAAAGGAGTACGCATGGTGCAATGCTTCGCCAACCCTTGTGATGTACAACAGTGTCTCAGTCTGCCACATGCTGTTTGTGTGTAAGTATAATTAAGAGTTTGATTGGTGTGTGTTAGTTAACAGTTAAAGTATGGGTATGAGGGACATAGCAAGTTATGATCCCCCGAGGCCAGGACTTTTTCCCGAGGCGAAGCCGAGGGAAATAGTCCTCGACGAGGAGGATCATAAACTTGCTATATCCCGAAATACCCATACTTCAACAGTTTTATTATACCGATACAAACACTCCCTTACAATATTCTAAATATTATTAGACAACAAATATCCAACAGTTGGGACACTTTATCAACAAAACTACAACAATACAAGATGAAGGTTGGTCCAGAAAGTACCGGCTCCGCTGGCCGGAAATTGCCGGAAATTGCCGACGTAATTCGATTGCGCTGATTGGTCAATATTCGGTCAGGCCCCGCCCACGACGTCACTCAATTTCCTGCATTTTCCGAGGGAAATATTTTCAAAACTATCGCATCCCTTCAGACGAACTATTTCCCTGGCATGCAGTTAGAGGGGAAATGGCTTGTTTATGTGGTCAATTTTGTATAGTGTAAAATAAGAAGAGGTATAATAATATAGTTAAGTGTTTGCCAAAATTTTGGAAATGTAGTGTTATTCAAACAATAATTCAGTATACCAAAGTGTTAGTAACACCGCATATCGATCTAAAACTCCGTGAAACTGGGGGAAACTATAAACAAAAAAGAGCTTATACCGTTATCCCTGAAGGTAGACCCGGTTATTTGAGAAGGATGATCATCTGCTGCTCAATCGACAAAATAATAAATGAAAAAAATGGTCAAAGTCATGTAATGTCAATTTCCCGAAGAGCACAGGTGTAGTGGGAACGAATCCACAAAAACAGTTATTTTGATTTGTTTAACTATGGGCATCAATTTTCGTTTCTTAGGCATAATTATTAAATCGGCTAAAGGGAAAATATGTACAGAACTATGAAAACAGAATCCTATAATTGACTGAATAAGTAGTGGTAGTACTGAAGCTTGTCTTAAAAAAAATATTCTTTATATTGAAATACTTTGGAATTTAAATTGATGGCAATATGCTGGTTTGTGATGTACGATCACATTCAGCGTTTGTTTTTATTTTTACTCAGACGAGATTATTATATAAAAAATATTTAATAACAACAATAGGGCATGAATGTGAATTTCACGAATATTTATTAGGTACCAATCTGATTATCTTATCAATTTAATTCATGAATTTATTCTAAATAATGGTACGTATAAACAAAACATGTGATATACAAATGTTGACATTTCAGTGTAATTACTTTCAAATGTAGTTATGTAGTTATGCCTATTGATGTATATGTATCATTTAAACGCTTTACTGGTTCTTAATGTTTTTGGTTTTGTTTTTTCCCTGAAGATCTGACTACTGTGGAGGCTGCAACGCCAGGTTTTATATAAACGATGAAGAAGTAACAGGAATGTGTAGGAGAAGACGGTTTCCTTATCTGTTCAGGCGCCGTTTTTATTTGAAATAACTATTATACAAACAGGACGTTAATGCAGACATATACATGTACTGAAAATACTGTAAATCACCTGTATTTCGTGATATAGAAACAGTAAAACCTGTGTGATACGATACCCTGAAGGAATCACCTAATTCGTTGGATAAGATCGCGGGGTCTGAATACACAGGTTTCTTTTTAATTCTTCTCTATCAGAAATTGGATATCTGCAGGTTGTTGGAATATCGTGAGTAGGACTAAAGAGGATTTACTGTACTCGAATTGACTTGGTTGGTTAAACCCGACTTTACATATCACTGATACAGGGCAAACAATTGATATGGAGAGAACTGTTTATGGTGTCCTGTTGAATTACATAGGATTCATAAGTGTGGTGCAAAATATCTTCATCACGGGAGTGCAAACTAAATCAGTTTGAGAAATAGCGTTATATTTGTAAAGACCATGGTTCAAATCTCAACCTAGCCCCGCTCTTTCTAGATGAAAGAACACTGTTATTGATTATATGTATTTTGTTTAAATTTATTCTTTATTGTGTTTTCTTAAAAGTCCCTTAAGGTATATTTTTCTTTTCATACATATTTTTTTTCAAATGATAATCATGCTAGCAAAAAAATATGTTTCAGGTCCATACTTACAAGTTTTTATAGTGCTACGAGGATCGTTAACCTACCATTTTTAAGATCAGTGATACAATATACATTAACATTTGCTCTGCACTGCCGCTATATAACTCTTTAAAGGCCAGTTCCGTTTTATTAGACTTTTAACTCAGGCGTAGTGATATCTCCACGGGTCCGACTAACTACCGGATCGATATTGCCCTCCGCACTAGCAAGCAGATAAGCAACAACAACAAAACAAAGTATGATTCAATAATATTCACCGTTTTATGTTAGACTAATATAAAATATTAATTGCATATGTTGATTGATTAAAATATGAAAAAACTGTCGATATTTTTGTGTTTATTTCCACGAACTACTTTCTTTACGGAGAAAGTCATGAGACAACATTCCGTGAGCACTTCCATGGGCTGTTCTACCTCATTACCAAACACCGTTAAATTCGAAAATGAAAAAAATGAAAAATGTAAATGTAATAATAAAACAACATTCTGTACCGTGTTATGGTCCTATAACACTGACCAGGATTGCAGACAAATATTCATAACGGGCTAACGCGCGTTATTCATTTGGTGTGCAATCCTGTTCCGTGTTATAGGACCATAAAACGGAACAGAATGCTATTTAATTTTTAAACAGCATCACTCTTTTGTTGTTTATCACAAACGATAACAAGATAAATCCCGGTTTATTATAATTTCAATTTAATTACAACACAATTAAATTGTTTTCTATATTTCTATATTTAAGAATTTTTACAATACAAACTAGTGAACAGCGAAGAACGTTTAACGTTATGTGTATAGGTGTCGCTAGTCATGTTTTAGGAGTCATTATTTTTGTATAACTTTCATTATAATAACATAATAGGTTGTTACAAAGCCAACGTAATATCATTGTCAATATATTCATGCAAAATAAATTACGACAAACGATTAAATTCATTTCATTTTAGGTCTGAACAGAAGTGACATTATGATGCTGTGTGGTAAATGTTTATCACCTGGAGGTATGGTTATGGTCTATGACCAAATCTTCATTTACTGAATGTGTACATTTATATAGCGTTAATAACTTGTTTAACGAATGACGAACCGTATCAACGAGCTCACTTTACATATTTTGATAATATAGAAAGGCAAAGCTTTAAAAGAGCGTAGCTTTTGTTGATCTCTGATATTTACTGATTCATAATACAACTTTCAGAATGAGATAAGATACACTTTATTTAAAGTCGGCTAGTCGAGGAATAACAATAAAACACAAGCTCTAATAAGATAAGACCGACATAATAATAGGGAGACCGGGGCAAGTTAGACCCGTTTTTTTTATCAAAGTCCGTTCTAGGAAGTATGGCAGCACGTCCGTTTATGAACAATATTTAACTTTTCCTGTCGGAAGATCGGATGGCCGAACGAGCCCCGCCATGGGGTAAGTTCGGACAGGCATTCGGGTAAGTTCGGCCCCCATTGGATTCAGCTTAATTATGACGTCATAAAGCATGCAACGTCAGATTTTACCGCTAATTTTACGAATTTGTATGTGTTAACTACATGGGCTGACCTTGCCACGGTATTATTGGTCGAACCTGTTCGGGCCCAAATTGATATTTCAATAAATTCTTATCGTACAGCAATATGGTAGTGAGTGATTGGCTTGGCTTTTATGTATATCATTTGAAGCTGTCAGTGTGTTACACGTTTGACTGTAAAAAAGCAGCAATTCCGTTTCAAAAAGTGCGCATAACTAGAAGCGAGATCATGATTTTCTTTCTACCCTCCCAAAAGTGATTTTCTTCTGTTAAGTCATTTTACATTAGAGATTTTCTCGCCATTTTTTTCGTCGTTTATCCTTAAAGTTGTAAATATTAGCTCGGAAACAAAAAATATCAGGGATGGCCGAACTTGCCCCGGTCTCCCGTATGTAGATTTTTTTTATATCATTGATGATTGTCAAAACTGTCTTCACAATATAAATTTTGCATCAATGACGCCATTTTCTTCCAGTCAAAGCTAAAGTAGATGTTTGTTCTTGTGCGTAACGTATATGATGGGTTGGGTGGCGCAGTAGATAGTGCGCTCGTCTTCACCAAGATGGCCGGATTCTATCCCGGTCACCTGCCCGACCACGCGGGTTTTCTCCGGATACTCCAACTTCCTTCCATATTAATAATTAAACCCTCTATTTGCTTCCGTCAGGGCACAAAATGAATGATTGAGATAAGCTGGGGGGAAACTGTTTGGTAATTGCTATCGAACAAAGTGCATGTTGCATATTTGACGATTAGTCTAAGTAAATGTATAGAGATGTTAGTTAAAAAAAAAAATGAAATAAAAAAAGAAAACATTGTTATACTTTGATGTAACTGAAATTGTCTTTATATCGATATGTAATCTCAATAACTGTTCCATCCTGAAACACCGGATTGAATTTCAAATGTTGTAACTTTCACCGAGGTTTGCCAGGTAATGATGCCAAATAAAATTACAGTTTCTGTCTGTAACTAGTATTAAATCGGCACGCGTTGTGAAAAAGTAATACGTTGCTGAAAAAGGGCGTTGCACTTGGGTTGGTTGTCTGGAAAATTATTGTTAATTTCCTCATAAATGCATTTTCAATTACTTCTTTTATGAGTGGTAATGCATAAATAATGTAAAGACTATATCCAAACTTTCAAAAATGTTAATTATTTCGTCCATATTCTCAACAAATGGAAAACAAAAGCTGATGAAATTTTAAAGGATCTCTTTTTGAAGATATCTCCCGGTAGAAATATCAACAGAACCGGGTTGATGACAAAAAGATCTTCAGAAAATATCCGCATTTTCATTTTTGTGCCTGTGGAAAAAACTGGAATAAAAAAAAAGTCTTGAAGAACCGACAAAGAGATAAATGCAAATGACATCAGTTCCAGAATTTTCCGGTTATTTTTCATCCTTCCGGAAATAACTGATGAAGGCCTATGGATTGTGACGTGCTTGTGATGTCATAGTATGATAATCTACGAACGAAGTTTCACTCCTGTTAGTATCACATTTTATATGATAGACGTTTTTCACTCAGCATGTATATTACTTTTTATCTAAATAAACAAGTAATAAAACATGAAGATTGTTTTCACTATATGAAGATATTCATGCATGGGTTGAAACTGAATTGTCTTTGCTTCAAGGATACACTTCCTGTTTCCCCACTGGACGTCTACTTCCGGAAGAAAAAAATTAAAGGCAAGGTGTAGCAAGCACCTCAGTTTACGCACGCATGTGTTACCATTAAAGAGCTACGCACTTATAATTACGTTGATACGGTGTAAAAAAATATATTAAAAAATGCAATTACAATTGTTTTGCGGGTTTTTTTCTGAAATCTTTGAATTATATTCTGTTGTTGTTTAGAAATAAAAATCACAAATAAAATAACCTGATTTGAGAAAAGTTAAATGGAAGTAAAACAGACACATCCGTTAATACTAGTGTATCGAGTATTTTCGACATTTTTCTATTTTTGTAGTGAAACCAGTACCGAGCTATTTACACGAAAAGGTATTAATACTTCAAGAACAGAATAACAATACCAGATGGTATATCAGCATTTCCGAATACCACGATACATTTGAGGGATTGGATCAAGTTAACAAATAACTAAATGATGTATGAAAAGGACGGGTTGCCTCGAAAATGAGACATCTCCTTTCAAAGCACTATTGTTATTACTTCTTTGCTAAAATACCGACTAAGTAATACTCATCAAATGAACATTTCTTTGCTCGGACTCCGTGCCCGGACTGGATCAAACTGTCGTTATTATTTATAAGACATATACATAAATAATATGGATAAATCATTGATTTTCAACTTAGCGTTTACCATTTTTTCTAAAATTTATAATGTGAGATCTAGCCAGACAAAGCGTTATCATAGACAACCCTGTGTAGAAAAATCTTAAACATCGGAAGAAACTAGTTAAGCCAAGCACAAAAGGAACTTTAATGACAATAATACATACACAAACTACACATTTGATGCCACGAGATGTTTCTTTCCAGAAATGAAATAATGTTGACGATCATTCTGAGAAGTTCTAACCAAAGTTATTCGTAAATCTGTCCACTAGAAATATTAATCATTTTAATGGGTTTTTCTTTCTTTTAAAAAGCAAATCGTGTATTGAAACAAAGCAAAATATTCCCTGGCGTTAAAAGGTGTTTTCTTATGTACACACCGGTTCTGTGGCGTCCCCGATCAACCCTGGAACAAGAAAGAAAAAGGTGATGATAATAGCCATATATTATTTTATGCAACAACAATGGGGTTTTTTTCATACATAGTACACTTTGCTTTACAAAAAAAAATCTTTTACGTTGTGTTTGATGAAACGAAATGATCGTTTTTACATTGAATTATCATAATGTTCTTTTACATTACGTCATCGTAATGTCCGTTTTAAAAGTGTATTATCATAATGCTCTTTCACTTTGTGTCATCGTATTGTTCATTTTTACGTTTTATTATCATAATGGTAGTTTTATACATTGTATCTATTCATCATACTTGTCATTATAAACAGTGTTTCGTCATGATGGTCGTTTTATACATTGTATCTTCACATTATACTTGTCATTATAAACAGTGTTTAGTCATGATGGTCGTTTTATATATTGTATCTATTCATCATACTTGTCATTATAAACAGTGTTTCGTCATGATGGTCGTTTTATACATTGTATCTATACATCATACTTGTCATTATAAACAGTGTTTCGTCATGATGGTCGTTTTATACATTGTATCTTTACATCATACTTGTCATTATAAACAGTGTTTCGTCATGATGGTCGTTTTATACATTGTATCTTTACATCATACTTGTCATTATAAACAGTGTTTCGTCATGATGGTCGTTTTATACATTGTATCTTTACATCATACTTGTCATTATAAACAGTGTTTCGTCATGATGGTCGTTTTATACATTGTATCTTTACATCATACTTGTCATTATAAACAGTGTTTCGTCATGATGGTCGTTTTATACATTGTATCTTTACATCATACTTGTCATTATAAACAGTGTTTCGTCATGATGGTCGTTTTATACATTGTATCTTTACATCATACTTGTCATTATAAACAGTGTTTCGTCATGATGGTCGTTTTATACATTGTATCTTTACATCATACTTGTCATTATAAACAGTGTTTCGTCATGATGGTCGTTTTATACATTGTATCTTTACATCATACTTGTCATTATAAACAGTGTTTCGTCATGATGGTCGTTTTATACATTGTATCTTTACATCATACTTGTCATTATAAACAGTGTTTCGTCATGATGGTCGTTTTATACATTGTATCTTTACATCATACTTGTCATTATAAACAGTGTTTCGTCATGATGGTCGTTTTATACATTGTATCTTTACATCATACTTGTCATTATAAACAGTGTTTCGTCATGATGGTCGTTTTATACATTGTATCTTTACATCATACTTGTCATTATAAACAGTGTTTCGTCATGATGGTCGTTTTATACATTGTATCTTTACATCATACTTGTCATTATAAACAGTGTTTCGTCATGATGGTCGTTTTATACATTGTATCTTTACATCATACTTGTCATTATAAACAGTGTTTCGTCATGATGGTCGTTTTATACATTGTATCTTTACATCATACTTGTCATTATAAACAGTGTTTCGTCATGATGGTCGTTTTATACATTGTATCTTTACATCATACTTGTCATTATAAACAGTGTTTCGTCATGATGGTCGTTTTATACATTGTATCTTTACATCATACTTGTCATTATAAACAGTGTTTCGTCATGATGGTCGTTTTATACATTGTATCTTTACATCATACTTGTCATTATAAACAGTGTTTCGTCATGATGGTCGTTTTATACATTGTATCTTTACATCATACTTGTCATTATAAACAGTGTTTCGTCATGATGGTCGTTTTATACATTGTATCTTTACATCATACTTGTCATTATAAACAGTGTTTCGTCATGATGGTCGTTTTATACATTGTATCTTTACATCATACTTGTCATTATAAACAGTGTTTCGTCATGATGGTCGTTTTATACATTGTATCTTTACATCATACTTGTCATTATAAACAGTGTTTCGTCATGATGGTCGTTTTATACATTGTATCTTTACATCATACTTGTCATTATAAACAGTGTTTCGTCATGATGGTCGTTTTATACATTGTATCTTTACATCATACTTGTCATTATAAACAGTGTTTCGTCATGATGGTCGTTTTATACATTGTATCTTTACATCATACTTGTCATTATAAACAGTGTTTCGTCATGATGGTCGTTTTATACATTGTATCTTTACATCATACTTGTCATTATAAACAGTGTTTCGTCATGATGGTCGTTTTATACATTGTATCTTTACATCATACTTGTCATTATAAACAGTGTTTCGTCATGATGGTCGTTTTATACATTGTATCTTTACATCATACTTGTCATTATAAACAGTGTTTCGTCATGATGGTCGTTTTATACATTGTATCTTTACATCATACTTGTCATTATAAACAGTGTTTCGTCATGATGGTCGTTTTATACATTGTATCTTTACATCATACTTGTCATTATAAACAGTGTTTCGTCATGATGGTCGTTTTATACATTGTATCTTTACATCATACTTGTCATTATAAACAGTGTTTCGTCATGATGGTCGTTTTATACATTGTATCTTTACATCATACTTGTCATTATAAACAGTGTTTCGTCATGATGGTCGTTTTATACATTGTATCTTTACATCATACTTGTCATTATAAACAGTGTTTCGTCATGATGGTCGTTTTATACATTGTATCTTTACATCATACTTGTCATTATAAACAGTGTTTCGTCATGATGGTCGTTTTATACATTGTATCTTTACATCATACTTGTCATTATAAACAGTGTTTCGTCATGATGGTCGTTTTATACATTGTATCTTTACATCATACTTGTCATTATAAACAGTGTTTCGTCATGATGGTCGTTTTATACATTGTATCTTTACATCATACTTGTCATTATAAACAGTGTTTCGTCATGATGGTCGTTTTATACATTGTATCTTTACATCATACTTGTCATTATAAACAGTGTTTCGTCATGATGGTCGTTTTATACATTGTATCTTCACATCATACTTGTCATTATAAACAGTGTTTCGTCATGATGGTCGTTTTATACATTGTATCTTTACATCATACTTGTCATTATAAACAGTGTTTCGTCATGATGGTCGTTTTATACATTGTATCTTTACATCATACTTGTCATTATAAACAGTGTTTCGTCATGATGGTCGTTTTATACATTGTATCTTTACATCATACTTGTCATTATAAACAGTGTTTCGTCATGATGGTCGTTTTATACATTGTATCTTTACATCATACTTGTCATTATAAACAGTGTTTCGTCATGATGGTCGTTTTATACATTGTATCTTTACATCATACTTGTCATTATAAACAGTGTTTCGTCATGATGGTCGTTTTATACATTGTATCTTTACATCATACTTGTCATTATAAACAGTGTTTCGTCATGATGGTCGTTTTATACATTGTATCTTTACATCATACTTGTCATTATAAACAGTGTTTCGTCATGATGGTCGTTTTATACATTGTATCTTTACATCATACTTGTCATTATAAACAGTGTTTCGTCATGATGGTCGTTTTATACATTGTATCTTTACATCATACTTGTCATTATAAACAGTGTTTCGTCATGATGGTCGTTTTATACATTGTATCTTTACATCATACTTGTCATTATAAACAGTGTTTCGTCATGATGGTCGTTTTATACATTGTATCTTTACATCATACTTGTCATTATAAACAGTGTTTCGTCATGATGGTCGTTTTATACATTGTATCTTTACATCATACTTGTCATTATAAACAGTGTTTCGTCATGATGGTCGTTTTATACATTGTATCTTTACATCATACTTGTCATTATAAACAGTGTTTCGTCATGATGGTCGTTTTATACATTGTATCTTTACATCATACTTGTCATTATAAACAGTGTTTCGTCATGATGGTCGTTTTATACATTGTATCTTCACATCATACTTGTCATTATAAACAGTGTTTCGTCATGATGGTCGTTTTATACATTGTATCTTTACATCATACTTGTCATTATAAACAGTGTTTCGTCATGATGGTCGTTTTATACATTGTATCTTCACATCATACTTGTCATTATAAACAGTGTTTCGTCATGATGGTCGTTTTATACATTGTATCTTCACATCATACTTGTCATTATAAACAGTGTTTCGTCATGATGGTCGTTTTATACATTGTATCTTTACATCATACTTGTCATTATAAACAGTGTTTCGTCATGATGGTCGTTTTATACATTGTATCTTTACATCATACTTGTCATTATAAACAGTGTTTCGTCATGATGGTCGTTTTATACATTGTATCTTTACATCATACTTGTCATTATAAACAGTGTTTCGTCATGATGGTCGTTTTATACATTGTATCTTTACATCATACTTGTCATTATAAACAGTGTTTCGTCATGATGGTCGTTTTATACATTGTATCTTTACATCATACTTGTCATTATAAACAGTGTTTCGTCATGATGGTCGTTTTATACATTGTATCTTTACATCATACTTGTCATTATAAACAGTGTTTCGTCATGATGGTCGTTTTATACATTGTATCTTTACATCATACTTGTCATTATAAACAGTGTTTCGTCATGATGGTCGTTTTATACATTGTATCTTTACATCATACTTGTCATTATAAACAGTGTTTCGTCATGATGGTCGTTTTATACATTGTATCTTTACATCATACTTGTCATTATAAACAGTGTTTCGTCATGATGGTCGTTTTATACATTGTATCTTTACATCATACTTGTCATTATAAACAGTGTTTCGTCATGATGGTCGTTTTATACATTGTATCTTTACATCATACTTGTCATTATAAACAGTGTTTCGTCATGATGGTCGTTTTATACATTGTATCTTTACATCATACTTGTCATTATAAACAGTGTTTCGTCATGATGGTCGTTTTATACATTGTATCTTTACATCATACTTGTCATTATAAACAGTGTTTCGTCATGATGGTCGTTTTATACATTGTATCTTTACATCATACTTGTCATTATAAACAGTGTTTCGTCATGATGGTCGTTTTATACATTGTATCTTTACATCATACTTGTCATTATAAACAGTGTTTCGTCATGATGGTCGTTTTATACATTGTATCTTTACATCATACTTGTCATTATAAACAGTGTTTCGTCATGATGGTCGTTTTATACATTGTATCTTTACATCATACTTGTCATTATAAACAGTGTTTCGTCATGATGGTCGTTTTATACATTGTATCTTTACATCATACTTGTCATTATAAACAGTGTTTCGTCATGATGGTCGTTTTATACATTGTATCTTTACATCATACTTGTCATTATAAACAGTGTTTCGTCATGATGGTCGTTTTATACATTGTATCTTTACATCATACTTGTCATTATAAACAGTGTTTCGTCATGATGGTCGTTTTATACATTGTATCTTTACATCATACTTGTCATTATAAACAGTGTTTCGTCATGATGGTCGTTTTATACATTGTATCTTTACATCATACTTGTCATTATAAACAGTGTTTCGTCATGATGGTCGTTTTATACATTGTATCTTTACATCATACTTGTCATTATAAACAGTGTTTCGTCATGATGGTCGTTTTATACATTGTATCTTTACATCATACTTGTCATTATAAACAGTGTTTCGTCATGATGGTCGTTTTATACATTGTATCTTTACATCATACTTGTCATTATAAACAGTGTTTCGTCATGATGGTCGTTTTATACATTGTATCTATACATCATACTTGTCATTATAAACAGTGTTTCGTCATGATGGTCGTTTTATACATTGTATCCTCACATCATACTTGTCATTATAAACAGTGTTTCGTCACGTTGGTTGTTTTATACATTGTATCTATTCATCATACTTGTCATTATAAACAGTGTTTCGTCATGATGGTCGTTTTATACATTGTATCTATTCATCATACTTGTCATTATAAACAGTGTTAAGTCATGATGGTCGTTTTATACATTGTATCTTCACATCATACTTGTCATTATAAACAGTGTTTAGTCATGATGGTCGTTTTATACATTGTATCTATTCATCATACTTGTCATTATAAACAGTGTTTCGTCATGTTGGTCGTTTTATACATTGTCTCTATTCATCATATGGGTCATTTTAAACAATATATCATCAAATTTATCATTTATACATTGTATCTTCTCAATTTTCTTTTTATGCATTGTGTTAGTAAAATGATATCGGTTTATAAATAGTTTTTTACAGCAAATGGTATATACATATTGTTTGATATTGTATCTGTAGCTTTAAAAGTAATAGTTTGATAATTGTTTAATATACTTCACATTAATACAGTGTACCTTAAATTCCATCGCAGCTACATACAATTATTAATGCGACAATGGTTGCCATCCACTACAAAACAATAACCTAGATCGGTCTCCATATTCTGACATTGATAATAATTCAGTGATGATGATCCTGAAACCACTTTATATCAAAAGCGAGACTTGAAAAAAATATTGAGTTGCTTTTTCACAATAGTAACATTTCTTCTTCCCTGTAGTAAGAACGCCCTAGACAAACAATTGTTAAATATTATTTGTAATTATAGTTTGACCTTGTTCTCAATACTTACCAACTTCTGGTGCTAACTGAAGAAACATCTGCCCTCTCGGGTAGCACCATGCACACCAGCCATCGCACGCGGCTGTCACGTGAGAATTATCTTTAGACCGATGGACAGTGTCAACCCTGTTTCCGTATCCGTAAGCTGTCCATTGTAACTATGAAAACAAAATACATCGGGAAATTTCATGACGGACATTTTTCATTCGGATATTTCTGTTTTTTATTTCTCTCCGGAATCACCTTTCGTATCTTTGACAAAATGAATAAACCGGGTGAATTTAATTATTCAGAAAGCTCTAGACTATGACCTTTATAACCTGTTTCCGGTATACTACTTCGTGATTACTTCATATAGACTCATGATATATATATGATATAGAAAAATAAAAGACAGTCGACACGAGGTAATGGTTTAGTACGTGTGGTTACAAGTGTTTTTTAAAGTGTTCTTTTTGCGTTTGTATCTATTACAATGCTGTTTTCCTTGTGAGTTGGTTTTAGCTGTACGGGTTGTTTTCGTGTGAGCTGTTCCCAGTTGTACAGGTCTGTTTTCAAAATATAAACACGATGTCAGAAACGTTAAGAAATAACACTAAAACTCATAGAGATAAACGTTTCTCTACTGTCATGAAAACAAGATTTCCTAAGAAGACGACAACAGTAAGTATTGGTTTATGGCCAAGCGGTTAAAACGGTCAAAATAGAGTATCACAAGGAAGTGTACTTGGTCCTTTTGTTTTACCCATGTACATCTGTATCGTATCAACGATAATGACATGTAGATCAACCGTAAAAATATTTATCATTCGATGTAAGTCTTTCAGACCAGTAGTGCATTACATTTAGCAGAACGTTCCGGTTTTGCTGTAACTCATAACTTTACTGATAAAAGGAACACCCTTTACCAGAGTACGCTCCAGCACGGGCAAAACCATTATTTCAGAATTAACCTCAACGGCTCCGGTATAAATTATGAAAAAAAGCCTTAATTTACAAGTTTTACGTATTATGACGTTAATGGAGACGGTAAAAATACTTTAGATAGATTAAATAAAGGTAACTTGTTTTACCAAGCAAATATACAAATTGGTGAACACCTGAAACCAAAAAGGGCCGCCATCTTGGATCGCACTTGGTACAGTACCGTCAAATGAATCGCTTCCTACGAACTGGTTCGCTCCGATGTTACATATCATTTAGCGGATTACCTGGATAGTATCGCCACAACTTGACCGTTTCGCTAAAAGGAACACGCTGCATGGATCGCATGAAATACTGGAAGATCTTGACAAATTATAGCTGTGGTCGGACAAGATGACTCCATAAAATGTTTTAGTTTAAGCAGATTTTATTGTATATTACAACAAACGGATTAGGCACAACTTATTTATGCCTTTTCCCGATTGAATTACAAAACCATGCATGATAACGCAATAGTCTAGCTGTAAATGTAATTGACGGAAAGGAAAAATTACCATTTTTAGGTCTTTTATTCTATCAAATTTTAACTATTGTCCACTTGCCTGGCACTTTTGTACATTGACAAATACTCGAAAAATGGAAAAAGTTCAGGAACGAGCACTTCGTTTTATTGAAAATGATTATGTTTCCCCAGTCATTGATATTCTTAGAAAACACGAACTTGAATTTTTACATGTAAAACTTTTGAAAGATATGGCCTCTGAGGTTTTTAAAATTTTAAATGAAATTTCTCCATCAATTTTACAAAATCTTGTAAAATTGATTTGCTGTTTCCCAGGTGTGGAACAGCCTACCAAATGAACTTCGATAAGCTGAAAACTATAAGTCGTTTCGTGGGCTGCTCCGCACCTGGAACAAAAATGTCTGCTCATGTGCTATCTGCACACACCATATAGTGTGAGTTGTCCCCCTTTGGAATCTACCTACACGTTTTATGCTACAACTATTTAATTTCACTGCTGCTTGTGTTATTTAATTTAATATACTTCAGTAATATACTTATTATATAATTGATATTTATTTTAGATTTGAGCTACATTATTTAAAAGATCATTACATTTAACACAATTTATTTTCACAAATTATAAAAGCTTTCCGTATTCATTGAAAGATACAACGCATCTCTATTTCTTTTAGGGAGTCGCGATAGCCGAGTGTATGATGCGTCTGACCGTCTACGATAAACAGACCTACACCACTGGGTCGCGGGTTCGATGCCTACGTGGGCAGTTGCCAGCTACTGACCACATGTCGGTGGCTTTTCTCCGGATACTCCGGCTTTCCTCTGGACCACCTAAACCTGGCACGTCCTTAAATGACCATAGCTGGTAATAGGACGTAACACACAAACCAAACCTTTTTCTGTTAGAAATATCTCTATAATAATGATAGTTTGTGTCAACGTATCAAAGAGAAACCAACCTGTAAATGGTTAAAGTCTAATGTGCCTGTTTTTAAAAACAAATCATGATAAACAATTGCCATAATGTCCGGCAATATCTGTTAAAAAGATGTACTTCTGGCCTTTACAATTTTGTTTCTATGTTTGGCAACGTTTTGATTATCAACCAATACCATTATTTTCTGTCACAACTTCAGTATGACGTCATACCAGTTTCTGGTCAAACAACTTACGTGGGGGTCTACCACGAGTCCAGTTCCACTTGTATCAATGACGAATCCTCCGGGCGCAGTACACTGTTCGAACCTCCTCCACATGTAGTCCCAAGAACATCCTCCTCCGGATCCAAATTTCGGCGCCTTCTGGGTATCGGGTGCTTCCTCAATAGTGTCTGCAAAGCTGAGATCATATCTCTGCACGGACATGTCCTGAAAACAATATTCTATTTCACCAGCAATGCACTATGTCCTTACATTTTCTTTCATTGTGCTACAAATAATCGATATATCGCCTGTGTGTTTAGCCCTTAATGAGCAATTCTAATTTAGTCTGATAAGATGTTTGACCGCTAATTTTCAGTAGACCTTCAATAGAGAATAAAAGAAAAAACTTCGAACCTCTGTCTCACTATAGGCAAACACTAGAACATTCCGTAGGTTTATTTATAATATATACAAGCATTTACGTGGGGGGGCGGACAACTACAACCACTGACAAATTACGCTATGATGGTACCACAAGTTTACAGTACATATAATATTACCTTCACCCAAAACACATGACCTTAATTCTGTACATATGACCTTCACCCTGTGAACATGATCTTCCCTCTTTACCTATGGCCTTCAACCTGTACACATGACCTTCACCCTGTACACATGATCATCACTCTGTATATATGACCTTTACCCTGTACACATGCCATTCACCCTATACTTTTGATTTTCAATTTGTACACCCGAACTTCAATCTGATGATATAACCTTCACCCTGTACACATGACCTTCACTCTGTACACATGACCTTCGTCAAGTTCGCATGGCCTTTTCCCTGTACACATGCCCCTCACCCTGTACACATGAACTTCACTTTTTACATATGACCTTTACCCTGTACACATGACCTTTACCCTGTAAACATGAATTGCACCCTGTACATATGACCTTTACCCAGTACACATGCATTTTACCCTGTACATATGACATTAACCCTATACACATGACCTTCACTCTGTACACATGACATTCGTCCTGTTCACATGACATTCACTCTGTACACATTAAATTCACCCTGTACATATGACCTTCACCATGCACACATGACCTTTACCATGTACACATGACTTGTATCCTGTACATATCATATTTACTCTGTACTCATGTATATCTTACTTCGATCTTAATGCGGATTTTGTGGAAAGTAGACACTGCATCGCCGACCCTGTCTCGGAACAAACAGTAATCGTTGTCATATCGGAGAGAGAAGTTGTACGTGGCTGTGTTGGTGTTGAGTAGGGTAATGTACTCTTTGGGGTCAGGACCGTGCATCCCGTTGCAGTAAACCTTGACCCTTTGACCTTGCAGAGCCGTCGGGTAGAGGTAGTACTCTCCGTTCCCGTAATCGCTATTACAGTTCTTCACTGCTTGGCAGTCTGCTGGTCCTATGGGAAACAACACATTTTAACAACATGATTGTGACGGTTTCAGCTCATCCGGCTAATCTTTCATATCTCAACGTAACGAAGGTACAGTAAGGTTGTGATAGGAAGACGTCGTGGTTTATAGGGTAAAAGGGGGTTCGGTTAAGTCTATATTGTAAAATTTAGCTTACAAATTAAAATAAAACACATGAAAACAAAAAAAAGGAAATATTTTTAAAATGTAATAGATGATAGACAGAGGAGATTATAAATGGTAACAAATCTAACAGTAGTGTATCTTTTATGCAATTCATTCCGCACCGGGAAACTGCATTGTTTTCTTTGTGTCTTAAATCGAATAACTAAATTGTTAAAACACCGAAAACCAATTCGGCTTTCAATCTACACAGAATGACGTAGAAATGTCAAAAATTATTTCAAAGGCTCTGCTAAAATACTTCAAATACATGTGCATGCAGCTTACATACGAAACTGAAAAAACACTCATCTGCGTAAAGATAGATAGTTTGCATTATATGCAACTACTACGTACTGGGAAAGTTTGCAACAGTTTAAATTTCGCTTTTTGTTACGATAAATTCCGCACCCTTAGTATTGAAGGCGAAACTATCACGCCGACGATAATTGGTCACTGGTAATATCACGACGCCGATAGTTGTTCACTGGTAATATCACGACGCCGATAGTTGTTCACTGGTATTATCACGCCGACGATAATTGGTCAATGGTACACGTATATATATTTTTATGTACTATACTATGATATAGAATGTTTGCCTGTCATGCACTCAAACTATGTTATATATACATGACCTCTTGTTACACATATTATGTGTGTCTGAGTGAAATAAAAATCTTGAAATCTTGAAATCTTGAATCAAGGCACATCATGTTTATGTCGGGCCACCGAAGCGTGCCTGCTATTAGATCCTATAACAGGTCCTTTTCAACAGTACAGAATAATTAACTGTCCTCTACACTAGCGTCCGTTGCAAGTGGCGAATCAGGTGAAATCGTCCCGGCTCGTCGACCAGTCCCCTCATCGACAGTAACACAAACAATGAGCTAGTCCTGTTGACACAGTCGATAGACACAATAATTCAGCCAACAGCATCTTTTTCAATCGTGATCTTTCTTAGGAAACTTAGGAAACTCCACATTTCACGGATGCACTTTCTATCTCGTTGAAAGCGTAGCCGATGCACAACGGTTTTTAACGGTCGGCTATTTCCGCGAACACGGAAATAAAATATTTGACGGGGTATTTTTGTTTTAAATTAAGATCTACTGTAAATTTTTAAGATAATTAATGCTTGTTAAACATGCTGGTAATTGAAATTAAACCATTAAAAATAGGCAAAGTGGAACTACATGTAATTGTTTATTGCTCAACTGTGTATTTTGTCACCGTTGACAACGCATCATCCTTCCCGTGAAAAAGGCTGTTCAATTAATGTTGTTTATATGACGGTGTTATAAAAGAACGTAAATATAAGGTTTGAAATGCATTTTTTCAACATTTATGAGGGTATGCAAAACAGTTCCGTTTAAACATATTCCCTAAGATGCCCTAGCGTGCATCAAGGAATATGTTTGAACGTAACTGTGTTGCATACCCTCATAAATGTTAAAAAGATGCATTTCAAACCTTAGATTACACTGACGAAATTTGTTCACTGGTAATATCACGCCGTCGATATTTGTTCACTGGTAATATCACGCCAACGATATATGTTCACTGGTACTATCACGACGACGATATATGTTCACTGGTAATATCACGCCGACGATGATTGTTCACTGGTACTATCACGCCGACGATATTTGTTCACTGGTACAATCACGCCGACGATATTTGTTCATTGGTACTAACACGCCGACGATATATGTCACTGGTACTATCACGCGGACGATATATGTTCACTGGTACTATCACGCCGACGATATATGTTCTCTGGTACTAACACGCCGACGATATATGTTCACTGGTACTATCCCGACGACGATATATGTTCACTGGTACTATCACGGCGACGATATATGTTCACTGGTAATATCACGCCGACGATATTTGTTCACTGGTACAATCACGCTGACGATATTTGTTCATTGGTACTAACACGCCGCCGATATATGTCACTGGTACTATCACGCGGACGATATATGTTCACTGGTAATATCACGCCGACGATGATTGTTCACTGGTACTATCACGCCGACGATATATGTTCACTGGTAATATCACGCCGACGATATTTGTTCACTGGTACTATCACGACGACGATATATGTTCAATGGAACTATCACGATGACGATATTTGTTCACTGGTAATATCAGGACGACGATATATGTTCACTGGTACTATCACGACGACGATATATGTTCACTGGTACTATCACGACGACGATATATGTTCAATGGAACTATCACGATGACGATATATGTTCACTGGTAATATCAGGACGACGATATATGTTCACTTGTACTATCACGACGACGATATATGTTCACTGGTACTATCACGACGACGATATTTGTTCACTGGTACAATCACGCCGACGATATTTGTTCATTGGTACTAACACGCCGACGATATATGTTCAATGGTACTATCACGCCGACGATAATTGTTCACCGGTACTACATTGTATCACGCCGACGATAATTGTTCACTGGTACTACATTGTATCACGACGACGATAACTGTTCACCGGTACTACATTGTATCACACCGACGATAATTGTTCACTGGTACTATCACCGCGACAATATTTGTTCACTAGTACAATCACGACGACGATATTTGTTCATCGGTACTACATTGTATCACGCCGACGATAATTGTTCACTGGTACTACATTGTATCACGCCGACGATAATTGTTCACCGGTACTACATTGTATCACGTCGACGATAATTGTTCACTGGTACTACATTGTATCACGACGAGGATAATTGTTCACCGGTACTACATTGTATCACGCCGACGATATTTGTTCACTGGTACTATCACCGCGACAATATTTGTTCACTAGTACAATCACGTCGACGATTTTTGTTCACTGGTACTACATTGTATCACGTCGACGATAATTGTTCATTGGTACTACATTGAATCACGACGACGATAATTGTTCACTGGTACTACATTGTATCACGACGACGATATTTCTTCACTGGTACTATCACCGCGACAATATTTGTTCACTGGTACTACATTGAATCACGACGACGATATTTGTTCACCGGTACTTCCTTTTTATCACGACGACGATATTTGTTCACTGATACTATCACGACGACGATAGTTGTTCACTGGTACTACATTGTATCACGACGACGATATTTGTTCACCGGTACTTCATTATATCACGCCGACGATATTTGTTCACTAGTACTTCATTGTAGCACGCCGACGGTATTTGTTCACTGGTACTACATTGTATCACGACGACGATATGTGTTCACAGGTATTATCACCCGACGATATTTGTTCACTGGTACTATCACGACGACGATATTTGTTCACTGGTAATATCACCCCGACGATATTTGTTCACTGGTATACTCTCCCGACGACGATATTTGTTCACTGGTACTATCACGCGGACGAAATTTGTTCACTGGTATTACATTGTAGCACGCCGACGATATTTGTTCATTGGTATACTCTCACGACGACGATATTTATTCACTGGTACTACATTGTATCACGCCGACGATATTTGTTCACAGGTATTATCATGCCGACGATAATTGTTCACTGGTATACTCTCACGACGACGATATTTATTCACTGGTACTACATTGTATCACGCCGACGATATTTGTTCACGGGTATTATCATGCCGACGATAATTGTTCACTGGTAATACATTGTAGCAGGCCGACGCTATTTGTTCACTGGTATACTCTCACGACGACGATATTTGTTCACTGGTACTACATTGTATCACGCCGACGATATTTGTTCACAGGTATTATCATGCCGACGATAATTGTTCACTGGTATACTCTCACGACGATATTTATTCACTGGTACTACATTGTATCACGCCGACGATATTTGTTCACTGGTAATATCACGACGTCGATAATTGTTCACTGGTACTATCAGGGCAACGATAATTGTTAACTTGTAATATCACCCGACCATATTTGTTCACTGGTACTATCAAGGGCGTGTTAACCCATGGGCGAAAACGGATGTTAATAGTGAAAGATGAATTTTTAATTAGATTGTTTGTTTATGTGTAAACAGCATTGCATTTTCACCCTTTTTAAGCTTTATGTGACAGCCGACCCTTTTGGATAGCGTTTGTCTACACCTACATATACGCATTTTTTAAATGAAAAATCCAAAACGAGTATATCATAAATCATAAATGCTGGGAAACGAATGACATATTATTTTTATCATAGAATACGAAGTAAACTGTATAAGTGTGATCAAAAACGAATATTTTGCACTTGGCCGCCTCTGAAATGATGAAAATTGCGTCCGCTTCACAATGAGGTACGTCACATCGATTGTTCCTATTCGATTGTAACGTCATTTCCGGAGTGATATTACACACGTTACTATTATATTATGGCCCTTTCCCTAGGGAACTGTTTTCTTATAGTGTTGTCTGGGGAGTTATAGTGCCCGAGCCGTTAGGCGAGGGCACTATACCTCTCCAGACAACACTATAAGAGAACTGTTCCCGAGGGAAAGGGCCATAATAGATTTAGTACATCACATGATTGTCATTTGACAATAAAAAGACAATCATGAGGAACTTCATTGATAACATATTTAATAATTAACAACAAATGTAAATGAGATACATTTTTGAGTAGATCTCTCCTTTTTAGTTGAGTATTCAATTCACTGGATTGACCCTTTCCAGCAAGAAGTCTTTAAGGACTGCGACATCAAATAGTGTCGCCTGGTTTGTCTTTATGCAATGCTGAGCCTCTGCGAAGCAATCAGCATTCCTGGTCCCGAAATACGAAGCCATTTTGACAGACGACAATAATGAAGTGAAAGTAGAATATGTACAACGCCCCCTACGAGAAGGGGCGCAACTCTTAGCGTCACGCTACTTTTCCCGCAGTTTCAGCGGTTCAAAAAAAAGGTATAGTGCCCGTCTCCAGGTATAGTTCCCGTTGTCAAGGGCGGATGCTAACTATATCAAATAGAACAAGGGTAGTTATCCAATAGCTATCCTAGAAATTATTATGTGATGTACTAAATAGAGAATAATACATGCCTTATTCCATATCACACCCAGTATCAACCCGAGACTGCAATATCAGCCCATGGACCGAAGGCTCGAGGGCTGATATTGGTCGAGGGTTGATACTGGGTATGATATGGGGAAAGCCGTGTTTTATTCTGTTTATTACATACTTACTAATAAAAACTACTATCTTATGATTTATTTTTATTTTTGAAATATTGAAAAACGTTGTTTTTTTCCAAAAGGGGTGTGATATGGGTTTTGCGGGCTGATACGGGTTTTGGGGTGTGATACGGCGAGGGCTGATAATGGTTAGAGCAATTGTGTCGTATCGCATATACAAAAAAAAACCGTATTTATTAGTAAGTATGTAATAAATAAACATATAAACATACAGTAACTTATGTGATGGCTTTATTCATATTACAAAACTGTATGCGTTTGACTTCTTGTTCCACGCATAGTGTGTCTGAGTTTAAATAAACATCTTGAAATCTTGATTAGAACCTTTACCATCCATACAAACTTACCACAGCAGACGTTACAAATGTTGGTCAGATAACTGTCCAGCAACGAGTTCGACGATCAAAAAAACACTTTATCTGTTCAGAAACAATTATGATTCAGTTTATAACGGCGAAAAATAAACCACTTTTGTTGGTCTTAATAAAGCGCGCAAATTAAAATTAGAGAGAACCGGAGTATCCGGGGTAAATCAACATTATCGAGTCCTCTAATAGTTATTGTTCAATCAGGGAATTGGTAAAATAAAACTATACTAAACCACGCATGTCTATGACACTTAAATTGTTATTTCTATAATACATTGTCTTTTCTTAGATAATACAATTAATCACTTCATCTCAAACCCTTAATTAAAATTAACCATGCTGACCTTTATCAAAACGTTATAAGCTACGATTTTAGCCTTAAGTCTTCTTTTTTTTCAAATTAAGAAACAAATGAAAAACATTAATATTACAAAAGAAAATCTGGTTCGCACGTGAGATCTTTCTTATTGTCGCACAACGTCGGTCTTATCTTGATATTTTAGATAAAGCAAGGCATTTAAGATATATTTGTTGCAAGTTTTCTGTTTTGTTTTTTATACTGAGCACTCACACCGGCAACTAATTGTGACCAACCCGCCATTCAATGCAATCAGCCGTCCTGAAGTAACAAGTTTCCATTCAATGACATTGTCAAAAACAATATAGCTAATATAATTGCTTTAACATTGTATATAAGAGTACCTACTTGTGACTTCCGGATTCCTGAGGCTGATGTCGCCTGCTCTCTCAGTGAGGCTGCTGACAGATCCAGTAATACCGGCTAGTTTACTTGACATTTCGTTCAGGTCACGAAGCATATTCCCTATATTCATAGTATTATGCTGTTTCTCCGTTCGTGCACGAAGAGCAGAACCCATTCTCTTCTCAAGCTGTGCATGTTTATTTGACATCGTATCCATATTTCTTCGTATATCATTTATCTGGTTCATCAGATCATCCAGGTCATTCCGCGTCTGCTTATTAACAGAACCTTCGGTTTCGGTTTCTTTGAATAAACCTTCAAGCATGTTGTTGGATTCGGTGATAAGATGAGTTTCAAGGTTAGATATGCTGCGATCGAAGAGATTCGACCAATCTTGTTGCATCTTTGTGGAAACGGTTTCACTCTTACCAGATTTATCTGTAGAACTGGACCGTAATCCCCTAGATTTCGCTAGCCAAGTACCGTCGGCAGTATTTGCCAGAAAAACTAGGAAAACAAGAAAAATGGAGCTGATATTTAAAATCTCCATCTTGCCACACTGCCTCCCTGGCCTCCTTTCACCGGGAACTCCTAGCCACATCCGTTTTATAAACAACCTGGCACGCCAATGACTTTGACCTTAAAATGAAAATTATAGCAGCCTGTGTCGAGGCAATTTTTCACCCTATAAAATCTAAAAAATAAGTGAAAAGTCATCAAAATAGGGTTTTTTAGTTATCTATTTCTTGTGTAACACAGCATTAAAACGGATCAAAACTTGTCATATGTTAGCAAACTATTATTAAAGTTTTTATTTTAAAAGCTATCAATATCGTGGCGAATCTTGAAAGCTTCTGTTAATACTTACAATTAACTTAAAAACAAATTCAAAGACTTACAAAAGTACGATTTCGGAAAAGGTAAGAGTAGATCAATATTGAGTGTGTAAGTAAGGACCTATATTTACATTTGCTCTGCATTGCCACTATATAACACTACCAAAGTCAGTTCCGTGTTATGAGACCATAACACAGGCGTAATAATATCTCCACCTGTCCGACTAACTACCGGATCGCTATTCCCATCCGCATTAGAAAGCAGATAAACACAATTATGATAAATTTATATTCACCGTTTGATGTAAGACTATTATAAAATGGGAACTGAATTAATTGATTGATTAAATTATGGAAAAGTATCGATATTTTTGTGTTTATTTCATCCAACTATATTTTTACGGAGAAACCACGGAACAACATTCCGTGAGCAATTCCATGAGCTGTTCTACCTCTTGAACAAAAACCGCGAAAATCGAATTTAAAAGTGCGTTGTGAACTTAGAAATGAAAATTGAACAAATGAAAAATGTAAATATAAGCATAAAACAGCATTCTGTTCCGTGTTATGGTCTTATAACACGGCATTCTGCATTCTGTTACGTGTTATGGTCTTATAACACGGAATAGAATGCTGTTTAATGCTTAAATAAATAAACATTTTTCTTTTTACAAACGATGATCACATATCCGGAGAAATTTTAACGAGGGTTTAAATTCCATTGACACCTGAACTTTCTCTGTATGAACGTTTTAAGTGGTAACACCATCCGTTACACACTTATAAATAATAACAACGTTTTTATTCTCTACTTGAATACAGATTTTGTACTGTTACATACGTGTATATATTTACACACATATATGGACAGTAAATTAATGAAAAAATACAACTGTTTTTCCAATATTGTTATGCACATCTTTGAAATTGATCGTAAGAATTTCCCGTGCAACTGCCAAAAACTGTAAATAAGTGTTGGAAACTGGGTTTTGTCGGCTTAAATATAGCTTTGATAGAGCTTCCAGGAAATTTATGAGAAATAAAAGAGACGAAATAAACAATATAATAAACAACAGTGTTCTGAATAAAAATAAAAATCAGCGGGGCTATACCGGGATTTACACCCAGGACTTCAGATTGAGAAGTGTCTGGGACCAGTTATATCCAAACGGAAGTTGAGGGGAGGTTACTGTATATATGAAAACATTAAGGAAATGGAACCTTAAGAATAAAGTAGTGTGGTGGGGGGAGTCATGTGAACAGGTGGGGATAGGAGTGTAAAGGGTAGAGGCGTGGTGGAAAGGACGGGTGTTTGTGTGAGAGTTGAGATGAGGGTTGGGGATTTCGAGGATAGGGTGGGGGACGGAAATTAGTGTGTGGAAGTAGAGAGGATGAAAGTGGTTAACGCGAGGAGATAAGATGGCGGAAGTGTATGGAACTCAAAATCATTACCTACTCAAACAAGTTCACATATCTTCAAATAACTTGAAATATTTTTTTTTTTTTTTTTTTTTTAAATTATTAACTTGAAAAAAAGCATTAAGAAGATAGGAAGAGTGGGGTTGTGGAGTAAAAGGGAGAGTTGATCCGATTGTAAGAGCGGAGAGAGGTTAGAGCGGGTGTGAGTACTAGTCGAGATAGGGCGGTGGGTGTCGTGCCTGAGAGAGTTGATTGGAGAGTAAGGGTGTGGAGGAGCGAGAGCGGATGGGATTCAAGATGGGAAAATAAGATATTCCAATTTAACTTAATATTTAATACCTGAAAGACATATCTCATAGTTGTAATTAAAATGTGTTTTTTAAATACATGTGTTGAGATTTATAATATAATCCGAATTATGTATTTCTTTCACATTTTAAAGATACAATTCAGTTAGAGATATACCTGATTCATTAAAATATGTCTAATACATATAAGACTATTTTAATTCAATTACAGATATCTGGGTTTTTTTTTTTTTTTTTTGCTTTTTCTTATATAATTTATTATCTCTCTATTACATGAAATAAAGCCCTGTTACATTTAGAGATATCTCTTTCACAAATTATGAAAGCTTTCCTTATTCATTGAAAGATACAACGCATCTCTATTTCTTTTAGGGAGTCGCGATAGCCGAGTCTACGATAAACAGACCTACACCACTGGGTCCCGGGTTCGATGCCTACGTGAGCAGTTGCAAGGTACTGACCACATGTCGGTGGCTTTTCTCCAGTTGCTCCAGCTTTCCTCTGGACCACCTAAACCTGGGACGTCCTTTAATGACCATGGCTGGTAATAGGACGTTAAACACAAACAATTCTATTTTTTGTCATCGTTTCAAAGTGAAACCAACCAGTAAATAAGTAAGGACTGAAATACATTTTTTTTCAAATCACAATGGAGGACAACACAGTTCCTTTTAAAAAGTTACTATGATGCTTATCAACATCTATCAAAAGATTCACTTCAATCAGAATATAAAGCAGTGAGAGTGAAATTTATGACTGTTAGAAGGGTTAAAAAATGGGCCACGAGAGTGATCGGAAACGTAGGGGAGGGTTAGAATGAGACAGAATATTGAGGGTGGGATGGAGTGTCGGGGAAGGTGAGGGGGTGGAGGAGCTGATGCTGACGGGGCTGAGATGGTGATAATTCAATCTGAACGTGGGATTTTAGTTACACTGGTAGCACAATTACCTTATTGTTTTGGAATGATAATGACACGTCGTTATACCTGACATTTACTGTAGAGGGGTATAACGTGAGGTAAAACTAGCGTTAACTTGATGATAAAATAATTGGAACAATACTCTTTCTATCAACTGCAAATGCCCTTCACCAGATAGATAGAACACTTACCGCTTCATTCAGACATGACAGACAATTACTCCGTTCGTCACGTTTCTCTACATTTATATGTTGTTAAGCTGTGCTCAATCTATTACTGAACTGGATAATGACACTAAATTATGGCTGAAAATGGAATCCTAATTTGAAATAATTTTTAAATATTTTTGGGGCGAACGCCTACTACTCGTGATAATATTTTTGCAGAATAAAATTTGTACGACTTTTCTGTACTTTTTTTCTTATATTCTTTAAAACTTTGTTTACATAATTTCATATTATTGTAACAGAAGAAAAAAATGGACGGCGATCGACCGAATGCCATAAAAATATACAATATTTGATATAGCGCCCTATCTAGCTAGAATACGCCACACTAAAGCGCTTTACAGTACATATATAGATATATACAATTAATACAATTAGCATATATTTTAATCAATACAATTTTGAAGAATTCGCAGGACCTGCCTTATCAGGCACTTACTACTAGTCCTATGCCACCTGGCTTTTTTCTCCCTATATTTGTATGCCTGCGTGTGTGCTGGATATGTAGTGTGTTCTATTTGTAGTGGGACCGTGCTTCCAACGGCTTCTTGTATAGTGCCACCTCACTTGAATGCTACAACACAGATACCGCAACATCCACCCCAGACCATTTTATTCTCCACATGGGTTGTTGGAGTGTAGTTCAGCTACATTTCTCTCTCCTTTAACAGAGTGTTCGACTCCGAGGACGTGCGAGACCCTATACAGTACTACCAGAATACTTTACACTCAGAACGCGTTTGTTGATTATTATTTCATTGTTTCATCTCCATTATGTTTTCATAAAACTCCTGCAAGGTATATATAATAATAAAAACTTTAATTATTTTATAACAATTATGAAACAAGTCATTTCCACTTATACTAATCACTCTTACTACGCCAGGTATCTATGTGTAGTCAAAGCTGAATTTAATTTGGGGATTCGTAAATTCCGTTAATTAGTGCTCTTTGTATTGTGCATGTATCAATCAATTTTGTCTAGAATCCTAGTTTCAACGGTAACAGAAAACATACTTTTCTATGACTACAGTTTACAGCGTGTGTCGGGATCAGCGATAGTCGACGTTGATGACAAATACCTCATTGTCTTACAATAAAATACTTAAAAGGATGATTGTAACGCAGGTAATCACATGGCCAGTGATTCAAACATATGTTACTGAAGGAAAACAATCAAAGGGATTGGGCACAAGTTCTGACAACTTACTAGGCCCTCTCTCGACAATACAACTCACGGTAACACGAAGGATATAACAACTTACTAGGCCCTCTCTCGACAATACAACTCACAGTAACACTTAAGATATAACAACTTACTAGGCCCTCTCTCGACAATACAACTCACAGTAACACGAACGATATAACAACTTACTAGGCCCTCTTCCGACAATACAGCACAAAGTAACTAAAGATATATCACGTGATGACAAAAAGTTCAGCATATATACAATCTACTAATTGACATGAAAACAGCTAGGGAAAAGGAAAGACAGACAGACAGACAGACAGACAGACAGACAGACATGTGCTTCCTTGTGTGTAGTGTGTAGTGTATGCCTGCTTGCGTGTGTTAATGCAGGAGACAGGATATGTTGCAGTCCTTTCCTTCTTGTGATAGCGCGGATCTGCTGCCGACTTTATAGTGCTATCTTACTGAAATGCCATGCCGAAGGCTCCCAGTACAGCATTCCGCCCGGTCACATTATACTGACAACGGGTGAACCAGTTGTTGCCATTACCCTAAATGCTGAATGTTAAGCAGGGAATAACAACTACCATTTTTAAGGACTTTGGTATGTCCGGCCTGGGGACAGAACCCATTGCCTTCCTCACCTTGGCGAACGCTCAACATTTAGGCCAAAAGTGAAATGTTGACAAGCAATGCGCTAGTAAATAAAAGGAAGTTAGAAGAAGAAAGAA